CCACATTTTTGGATAGACGCGGTGGCTGCTGGACTTAGTGTCACTTACTAGCTATTGTAATAGATACTCTACGGAGTAATTTAGTCCTGGAAGAAACAAAAATACCGTAAGCTTCTGTATTTCCATTTTATAACAATATAGAGACGTTTTCTCCTAGAAATTTTGACCTTTTGATTTGGCTGGGACCTGGATCTAGGAGTAACGTACAGGAGTGTTTCTATTGGACGCGATTAGGACAGCCACCGGCGAAATAATTCTACAATCATACTTTTGCTTAATCCAAAAAGGTGTTTGCTGAGACAAGAATATTTTCTGTTCTGCCGCTCGCCCATTTCTTTTTCAGCACTTAAATATTAGTCTGGATATTTACCGAAGACTTGGTCGCTTTACCCAGTAGCCTTTAAATTTATAATCTGACGAATGTCAACAAGATCTTCGCTCATTTATCTCATCAATGCTAGTTATATGCAGACGTGGCTTTACCTTGCATTGTTTTGCAGCTATTAGCTGTTCGTCGTAACTCTAGCGTGGTAACTTGCTTCAATTACTCGAATTGTATATTGCAGAACCTGGAAAATTATCTATAATTTCATGTGGAAAATTTTAGCCACCTATATGAAGCCAATGTATCTTGTGAAATATTCCAGTAACTGAACAACCTTTAACAGAAAATATGTTGGCAATCCTAACATTTTGATCTTGACCTGTAAATGGGCATGTCTCTTTGAGAATAAATTTTCATTGACAAGTACATGTGTAACGAGATTGTTCGAAACGTATTGCGCGAATACCTCACATTTTTCAGATCAATTACGTCTTCCCACTGTTCCATCAAAATTTATAAGAGGGACTAATTGTTTTAAATTATTATTTTTATTATTTAAACAGTTATTATTGTAAACAATTATCACATAAGTGTTTCCATCTCAGCAATTGTGTTCTCTTCATAAAAGCATTTCACTACACTAGCGTTATGTGGAGAGAGTGGTACTGCATCACTAGTGGAAGACACCCACAACAAAGTTCAGGAATCATCTAATAACTTCAGCACGCGTAGCAACACCTTGAACTTTGGCACTCATAAATGCTCAATTCACACTCTGGACACCACAAACATTAAGGAACTGGACATCCTTTGTCTGTTATTCAAGCAAATCTATGAGATCCGATGAAATGCAACCCTGTTTACTCAGCGAACTGAAAGATTTAGTCACAAGTGCTCCAGGATATACTTTTAGGTAGTCTTACATTATTGAGTGTAACTAACCTTCACAGCCCCTTGTAACCATCTGGTAGCTGGGTAACCGTGATCAGTTGCGTGCTACATGGACCAGCGTTGTTCCTCCTGCATGTGAATGACCTTCTTATCCTCATATGGTTTGTTCTGCTATGTTCTGATGGTCTTAAAATAAGTAGAAAGATAAAAAATAAAGGTCATAGTTCAGAGCTTCATACAGACCTGCAGAAATTGTACAAAAACGATCTAGAGTTAGACAGCTGTTGATCAATGCTTAAAAGTGAATGATGATGCCTATTAGTCACCAAGATACAAGTACATATACAGCGAATAAAATCCAGTGATACATTGTTTACACACATAATTACCCTGTAATTGTAAGTTAGCATTTGAAAAACACACCAATCTGCCTTACAATAGCTAATGAAGTTTCAGGATCTTATGGTCATTATATCCAATCTTTAACCACCTAAAAGTAAAGACGTACCCGACTGTTTATTTTCCGTTATTTCAAATTTGACTTCACCATTATATTTTAGTGAGCGAGTCCGGAAACCAGCTTGACTATGCCCACTACTAAATGTTCCATACGGTTGCGTGATGAAAACGAGAACAAAATAAATCCATAGTTCAGTGGTTTATTGAAGGAGAACGTTGGCATGACATAGGGAACAGCAAATGGAGAAACATGGCGGCAACGCGAAGAGAAACGTTGCGCGCAAGAAGTAGTAGAAGTGTTTTTTGGTTAAGTTAAACAAAGCGAGTACAATAATGTTTACATTTCAAAAATCGCATTTTCTTCGTATAAGCGTTCCACTACAGCAGCCCCCGCCTAGAAAGGGTTTACACTTTCGATACATAGCGGCTACGTTTGACGGGGGGCTGGTCGGCCAACATTTGGTTTTAGCGCCGAAGGGTTGACGAACAGGAAGCGACCAATGAAGCTCGAGTTTTCACCGATAGTCTTCTACGTTGAACTGTACCAGTAGTAACGTGCCAGGTTTGCTGCTCGAGTTGATGTGCCAAGTTTGTCTATCGGGTTGGCATGCCACACCAGCGTGGCTCGTATCCAGAGTCTGAAGATTGCTTTCGTAGGCGTTCGGACCAGATAAAGCTGCAGACGTAGGACGGAACCAGATTGAGCGGAGCCAGAAACGACCATTTCGAAACCATTCGTATACCAGATATATTCGTCACCAGAAAATCGACTGAGTGCATTGACTAGAGCGTGGGTGATCAGGCCAGCTTTCGCCAAGGTTGACTGAAGTCGACGGTACCAACAGGACAATGGTCGGGAGTATAGGCTCGGGATAAAAAAAATCAAAGAAAAGGAAGAAAAGTGTAGCATGCATGTAGTATGAGTGTAAAATCCTATGCCGAACCCGTGGTTGACTGGTAGTTATTCGAGAAAGCGTACAGGTAGGCGTACGCGGCGACCGGAACGCGAGACAGTAGCCTCGTGCGTACCTTGTGAGCGTGCATTCTCATCCGCAGTCAAGTGCGGCGTGGTCTGCTGATCTGGACGTGAGACCGGAGTCTCATCCGTAGATAGTGCAGATGGCGCGTGCTGCTGACTGGGACGTGAGAATGAGGTCTTTGGTTTATCTAGCGTGGGATCAGAAGAAAAAATAAGGATCCCGCTAGTCAGGTGGACGGGTCTAGCATTAAATCTCGATTTACCAGGTAGGGCACTGTCATTGACGTGTGCTGGTATGAGACGACCAATGCTGACTGTGTTCATCAATCTTGAAGGTCTTTTCGTGACGGGAGATCACGTGAAAAGATCCTTCGTAAGGTTGTTGAGTACCGAATCTACTAGTAGGAAAATTTGCGGACAGGTAAATAAATCTCAAGGGAGAGCGACCTGTCGATGTTATATTCGAGTTCACACCGGAGGCAGTATTTGCATCTACGCAGATAGTCGTTGGACGTAATCTGATATACATAAAATCGCTGCTCCGTGGTGTGAAGAAATTCCCCAGGCAGATGCAATGTCGTGCCGTATATGAGTTCGAAGGCGGGACTTTGGATATCTGCCGTTGCTGCTCCGTAATCGCCATGTCGTCTCCAACAAATGCCATCTTTCTGCGAACCAAGTGGAGAGAGGAGTCTTAAGGACTGTGAGAAAGACGAAGTAATACATATAGCAAGTAAACTGTCAAACTCACGCTTAGCGAAAACTAAGTTGTCCAGTGCCAGTCGGCGAGGTTTTGCCGTGACTGGGGGTCTGCAGGTGACGATGTGGCTTACCACATAAATAATCACCAGTTAAATCTCCTCGGTTTCGTTACTTTGGGGGATTTATCGAATATAACATAAGATAAATCGTAATGCAAAAAATATACATATTAATGATTCGGTACATATCTGTTTGCGCGTTAAAAACCATGGATTTGATATTCGACGAAGTATCGAATAACGCAGCCTACGTGAATTGAATAGCAATCCATAGTGCTGTAATGGATCGATACCGGGAACATCAGAAGGGATGAACGTCCATAGATACTGTCGTCGGATACTCAGGTTGATAGTTAGCTGTCGTGTACCGTAGGTAGGAATGACAGAGCCATTCGCAGTGCGTGGTCGAAGCATCGTAGCTTATGACTTACTGCTACCAAACGATACGACAGAAACTTGGGCACTTGTGGCCATCAAGTACCTAGCGTTAGTGCAAAAATTGAGCACGTAAAATAAACTAACAACCTGAAGTGACGGTGAGGAGACAGGTGAAAATGCCATGACCTGCACCTCGGAGTCTATTATTATAGCTATCTACCATTTCGAAAAGTTGTTGCAAGTATAAAATATATTAAAGACATTATTTATAGTATTGCAACATTATAAAAATAGTGGTAGATGAATAATAGACTCACCGTAATTGACTTCTTTTGAAGAAACGTCAGTCTCACCAATTTTAGTGAGCGAGTCCGGAAACCAGCTTGACTATGCCCACTACTAAATGTTCCATACGGTTGCGTGATGAAAACGAGAACAAAATAAATCCATAGTTCAGTGGTTTATTGAAGGAGAACGTTGGCATGACATAGGGAACAGCAAATGGAGAAACATGGCGGCAACGCGAAGAGAAACGTTGCGCGCAAGAAGTAGTAGAAGTGTTTTTGGTTAAGTTAAACAAAGCGAGTACAATAATGTTTACATTTCAAAAATCGCATTTTCTTCGTATAAGCGTTCCACTACAATATATTAACACCCACCCTCTGCATAAAAAGGATAGCCAACCGTTCGAAGAACTCCAAAGAACAGCAACTAAATTGATTTCTTCTATCTTTGAGAAGCCCCACCGATAGTCTCAAAAAAGTTGAATCAACTGAGTGACCACCTTTCGTAGGACTAACACAAGGGATTCTATCCTTCACAAACAGAATCTGAAACCTGTCACATTCATTAACATGATTACATGGTTAATGGAACACGACCACATAAAGTAGCCAAATTTGAGATTCTTGGGATGGCCTAAGCCCTTCAAGTTAGACCAACGCTAATGTGAATTGTCAGTCTCCAAATGCTTCTGGGTTTTACACCTGATGCTTAGCAGACACACCAAAAAAATAGATCTGAAAAACAAACGGAATTTTCATGAAGCTGTTATTACAGAAGTTCATAAGATAAGAATTAGACGATATTAATATCTATACATCGTTAGTTTCACCCCGAAAAATATTCACTGACACCAGTTGATGGGTTACAGAACCAAAATCTGTGCAAGAGAAAGGATTTTGTTTTAGCTAGTCTTAGAATATTTGGCGACCTTATTGAACATTTCAGTATACAGGTATGTTGTTACTTTCTAATGTTGCTTATCGTCTGTTAATAACTTTGATAACTAATAGCATTCCAACATAGAGCTGTCATATGGAGACATATTCTCAACTTAATCGTGCTCAGCTCAGTTATGACTACCTTCATACTAACTCGTAATTTTGACACAAAATAACAACTCATTTTTAGAACAACACATGAGTTCCTTTTCGGTGCTATCGCGGAACTTATTGATAATGCACGTGATGCCGGTGCAACAGAGTTGGACATATACACAAGTAAGCTTTGAGTTTCCTTATTTAAAAAATTCAGTTAAAGATAACTCGGTGCGTGGGAACTTTCTTCTCTGCTTCGCAGACAACGGTTGTGGTATGACACCAGGTTAGTACACTTGTTTGGCTTTTTTATTTTAAGATGATGTGAAGAATGTTATCATATTTGGGAAGTCACTGAAAAAGTGTGAAGACACTGCAGCTATTGGTATGTATGGAAACGGTCTAAAATCGTAAGTTTCATGTTGATTATCTACTCTATTTCATAGAGGCTCTATGCGAATCGGAAATGATTTAGTTTTGTTTACCAAGAAGGAGGGTATTTACACCTGTCTATTTTTGTCAAGGACTTTCCACGAGGAAGAAAAACTTGACGAGGTTATACTGTAACTCTTAATTTTCATGTCTTGCAGGTAGTTGTTCCAATGCCTTCTTTTAGAGGCCCTGAAAAAACACCTATCGCAGAGACTCCTGAGGATAAAAAGAAGGTATGTATGTGATATCTGTCATTTTTCCATAGCATGACCTGGAAATGCATTTAATTCTGAAGTACTCGCCATTCCGCTGCTTAAAAGATTTCTTTGCACAGTTTGATAAACTCAAAGAAAGTTCGGGAACTGTGGTGATTATATATAACATGAAACTTCTTGATCACGGAGGACCGGAATTAGATGTCGTCACAAATCCACGTGACATCTTACTTAGTCCAGGGCCGGAACAAGAAGAAACTGTTGAGCCTGATGCTGAAGTTATGTAAGTTGGATACCCTGTTTCTTTGCTTATTAACGTTTAATTTAAAATATCTATTGAGTGACTTTAATCATAGCATAAAATGGTTAGGGACTTGCCTATAAATGCTCGTCAGAAGTGGAGATAGAGCATGGTAGGAAAACGTCAAATGAATACAACCCGTCTCTGACTGTTTTGACTACATTCTCTCAGAGTCAACATTCGTTAAGAGGTAACTAACAGTGTGACTCAAAATCACTATTGCTACGATTGCCCAATTTTTATTTCTGTCAGTACTTAACTTTCTCTTTATAGCATTTGCTTCTGCTCATTTCTAATTGATTATGACGATCTGTGTACCATAACCATTATATCTGTTCACTAAGTTGCACTAAGCTTTAATTACCCGTCGTTTGGTCAACAAGTCAAGTTTGGGTATGGATTGTACTTACTGAGTATAGTGTTCTGAGGGATTGTTGAATGAACATTGTCACCTGAGAATGGTTTTGCTTCATTACACTGCTGTAACTCTAGTAGTAATTTTATATCAAAGCTAACTTCCTCTTTATGTCCTGTCTAATATATGAAGTCCTATCTGTTTAACTGTTTGAATACATTTAAGGCATGCATATTTTGTTCACAATCTATTAAATGTTTAGTGATCGCATTTGTGAAAACCTTACTTCCTTTTGGACATAATATGTTCCGAAAACCTTACAGATTCCATTCTTCCAGTTCTTTCTATCTGTTTTTAGAGGCAAGTACATATAAATTCGTAAATACATTTAGAGTTAACCTCAGGAGATTATTAGTCCTTTTTTATCGAATATTTAGTGACACCTGAAATAGTTGGGCTGCAGGAAAGCTTATCCTTTAATCCCTTTATTAATCCCTCCTTAAATCCTCACTTCCGACTGCAAGGCGGATAAACACAGGTTTTCTGTTAGTGGTTGTATGTATGGGGTTTGCCGTTAACATTTTTCATATTTTATGATATTCCTTTGAAAGTCCACTTTTTATAAGACAACCTTCAATGCATACATGCTGTTTTCTCCTGTATTTCATCAGCTGAACATAACCTAGCCCTATTGAATAAGGTTTCAACTGAACAGCGTTTGTGATTAACAGGATGAAAACTATCACAATTCAATTATTATCGTGTCCATGTTCCTCTCCCAAATATGGTGTTCACGGTTTTTCGTTTTATTTTTGGCCTAAATAGTTTGATTATGATGTTCATATTCCATCGTAAATCTTATATTAGCTTGTGTTTCATTAAATTGATTGAGTAACTGTGAGGTATGATTCAAATCCTTACAGACCATAAATGTATCGTCAACATACTCCCCATAAAATGTTACATCATCGATTTAATTGCTAGTAAAGTTATTCTATTTGTTTCTTTCAATAGGCGAAAAACTATTATACACAGTTTTTTAATTTTCTTTTTTGTTGAACAATCAGAGGGTAAGTTTTAGACTTGATGTGCTTGAGCTACATTTCCAGTGTGAGTTTTAGTCACGGTAAAGTTTCAGTGTTACACCCCCTTGTGATGTTTTTTGGTTGATTTTGTTTTCTTACTGGAAATCGATGCATTGACAATTAATCTTTGTGTTCTTCATAACTCATGTAAATAAAGAGTGAAACAAGCTTTAAACATAAATTCATCTCTTTCAAGTCATTAGTTGTTGGTTCTATTCGTTTAGACAACTTTAATTTCCCTTTGCTAAAAATCCAAATAGTGCATTGTTATCGGTCATAATAAACTTGCATTTTCGACTTTTTCGTTATCATCATTTCTATGAACGTGATTTGAAATTATCTCAGTCGTTATTTTTGGAAAGCAGTATATCAGACCGTGAATTAACCGTCTCTGAGTTAGTGAGAAAATCAGTCAGTCAGTCAGATGCAACGTAGAACTTCGTACGTAAGTACATCAGTTCATGTCACCATACCACATCAGCACAGAGATGTATTTCTCAATTCAAATCCAATAGTAGTAGAGGTAGTAAAGGTATTAGAAGTAATCGGAGAGGTTAGGATGAGAGGATATTATTTAAGAAGTATGATTTAATGAGAAAAGTTTAGAAAGTCAAAACTAGAGGGGTTGAAGAACCCAGAAGATTAGGATTTGAGAGAACACAAAGAATAAATGCACCGGCGCCATTGCAAACGATTTTGAGCCATGTCATTCAAGGTCTCTAACCATCAATTATCATCATCTCACGGACTCCAACCAGGTAGTCGACAATTACCAACATGGCTAAGTCCACTTGTCAATGACTTCATGGAATTCTGCCATGTTTTGGTTTGGCCGCCCCTAACTTTCTTCCAACCTATTCCTACACTACAAAACAAAGCTCGACGAGGCAGTCGGTGGTTAGGCATGCGCAACACATGTCCCAACCACCTCAACTGATGATGTGTCACTACTGCGTCTATTGATCTGCCATTCTTACCTAGCACCCGATTCCTAATAACAGCGTTGCTCACTCGGGTATCCTAGGATATACGAGCAATGCTTCGAAGACACCTATGAGAAAATCCAGGCTAATTGATGTCAAACAGTGAGAAATAGTAATAATAACTTATCTAAGCACTGGTTATGATCTAAATTTTCTCAGCACTATTCACAAATTCAAGGTAATTTTTGTTTATCTTCAAGATAACCACAGTAATAAGTGTTATATATGTTTAGTTCCTATGAGAAATAATAACAGCAGTAATTCACTGGAAATAATCAGTGTTTTCTGAAACCATATAATTTTAGCAAAAAAGTGTACTAAACTACCAAAGATGAGCAGTTGCTATAACCGTCTCTCATCTGTACTGAATCGTCAACATTCAACTCCAGGTAGATAAAATGATCTCTCACTTTACTCAACCAAATGTTTTGTGTGATTGTACCAAATCTATCTACTTTCTTCATATGCCCTCCTGCTTCTCGGAGGTTTTCTCATCTCATTTTCTTTGAATCCTATTATTACAGTCCTTTAAACTAGTGGTACGTCAAAAGTCGTCTTACTTATGCACAGATTGCTAAATTTCTCACTTTTTCTGACCATAGTGATTTGTACTCACTGGATTCTACTGATGAATATGTTTATGCGTTTGTTTTTAATGAATATTTAGGTTCGTTGGGAAAAATCACAGTTGTGGTATTTATCAGGAATTCAAACTTTGGTATTCTTTCCTTGATAAGTAGTAAAAAACTATGATTGTTAAAAATATTAACGTTATCACTTCGAAATGACCTCAACTTTCCACACTGTGGAAGTCTTACTTAAAGAACTCCAGGCTTATCACTTGACCTAAGCATAACATCTAAAACAGTAAAATCTTCTACTCATGCGAATCATAAAGCTGGCTTGGTATCCATCAAACGATAAAATCAATATTCTAAATATGCCTTTTGTTTTCCAGTAGCTGTACTCATATTTCAGAGACCTTTGGAGCCAGAATATAGTTGAGAAGATAAAATGAATTTCTGGAATAGTAATTATAAAGTAATCTAAAAAAAATACCTTGTAACCTAAGTTCCTCGCCAGTCATTTGTAAACCTCTTCAAGACGCGGTTCAAAACCATGAAAAACAGTAGCCTAGCTACCCTTCGAAAAGCAACTGAATGTTTCTCTTGTCTTATGTGCTTTTTTTAAAAACTGTATTTCTCTTGTCTCGATTTCAATTGAACTGTTTAGTGTGCTGTGTACCAACTTAGACCGACCCATATGTTCTAGGTCTTACTTTTAACTTTAGCTAACTCATAAAATAGCGTGTTATATTATAAGTTCGAAATGGTAAGAATAAATCATACAAAAATGGAAGTAAAATCTGCAATGTTTACGGGCTACTGGCTGTTTTAAGTGTCATCGATAGCAGATTAGAAAGTGAACGAGGCGATTGCGTGGATTTCACATTGCTTGTTGGTTTCAAATTGTGGAGAAACACCTCTATACTCCTATTCTAACTGAAGTATTTTTGTTTAAAGTTATCAGCGTAATGATAGATTTTTCAGACATATCCTCTAATGAATACTTCCTAGGCATAATCCTAACAAATTAGAGTCGAACTTAACATCAAGAAATAAAGCCAATGGTCAGCTTATACTATTCGGTGATGTTTAAACATCTGAAAAACATTTAGAAATTTGTTTGACAACCCCATCCTGTGTACGTCACACAACGGATAGACGCCAATTGAAGTTGACACTTACGCCTGTTACCCCTAATGGAGCATAAAAGGCTATCAACTAATTTTTTCTGGTTATCGTTTTTTTAGTGAATTGAATTTCTACGAGATTGGGTCCTCCTCCTTTATTCGGGTTTAGTTAGGACTGACAGTAATCCCAGGCCTGCAGGCAGAGTTAAGTTAAATAAAATTTAATTCAATTTAGTTCAATAAGTCTTAGTAAAAATATCACTGATTCAATACTACTACTAATCTGACCCATCCTACTCTAACATGAATGGAAATTTACACACTGTCAACTTAAACAATTTGCTCTCTATTAAAAAAATATTTTTTTGTTTCCTTCTATTTCTCTTGCACCTTGTTCACTATTTTAATGAATTCTAATTTGATTTCAATGTGAAGCCACGTAAACTTACTTAATCGATTGCATTTTCTTTTTATCTAACAGAATTTCTTTTTTTTTTGTTCGCTTTCTTGACCACATTTGTTTATTGATCTAATGCGCATATCTTTATTGCAAATTTTCTTCTCTCTCCCTTTGATCAATTTTAGGCTTCCACCAGAAAGACGCAGTCTTCGAGCTTATGTATCAATTCTGTATTCAGATCCACGTATGAAAGTTTATTTACAAGGACGTAAAGTACAAACTAAAAGACTATTAGCAACATTGCATAGTACACGAAAATATAATTTTGCAAGTAAAACATTTCGTACTAGAGCTGAAGCAGATTTAGCTAAAGCTAAAAATGATGTAAGAATAGGTAAGTTTGAGATGAAAATTAAAAAAAACTTAATTTTCAATGCATACACATCCATGAGTGAAAATGTTTATTCCATATAAATTTCTTTATTTCCAACACATCATCCAACTACTACTTAACAAATTTCAACGAAACATTTACAAGAATACATGTTGAATATCCCCGATCGCTTATCAGTCAGTCAGTCAGTTGCAACGTAGAACTTCGTACGTATGTACATAAGTTCAGGTTGCCATACCATATTAGCACAGAGACGCAAATGTCAAATCAAATCCCATAGTGATAGAGATAATAGAGTTATTAATGATAATGAAGAAGACTAGGGTTCGAAGATATTATTCCAGAAGTATAATTCAGTGAGATAAGGTTAGAAAGACAAAGGTAGAGGTACTGATGAATCCAGAATATTAGGATTTGAGAGAGTACAACTAATGGATGCACTTGCGCCATTGCAAACGATTTTGAGCCATGTCATTCAAGGTCTCTAACCATTGATGACTTTCGTCTCGCGGACCCCAACCAGGTAGTCGACAACTACCAACATGACTCAGTCCACTTGTCAGTGACTTCATGGATTTCTGCCATGGTTTGGCCGCCCCTAGCTTTCTTCCAATCTACTCCTACACTGCAAAACATAGCTCGTCGAGGCAGTCTGTGGTTAGGTATTCGTAACACATTTCCCAACCACCTCAACTGATGAAGTTTCACCAGTTCATCTATTGATTTGCCATCCCTGCCTAGAACTCGTTTCCTAACGACAGCATTGCTTACTCGGTTGTCGCACGATATACGAGCAATGCTTCTAAGCCATCTATGGTCGAATACTAGTAACCTACGAGCATCTACTCTTAACGGCCATGTTTCGCATCCATATAAGAGAACGGAGCGAACTGCTGCGCAGTACACCCGTCCTTTGGTTAGCGAATGGATATCTCCTACGCCATAGACGGCGTAAGTCGGCAAAAGCAAATCAAGCTTTCTGTATGCGTGCTGAGATTTCGTCAGTCGCCAGGCTATCAGCACTGATGAGACTCCCCAGATAAGTGAAGTGATCAACACGCTCGACTACTTCACTTCCTATCACTTATAAATCGCTTATAAATTGACTTTACTATAAGGGATTAGATTGGGAAAATAATTTGGGCAAACTGCTTCTCTTAGTATATATCTCCTTGGAAAAGTAAACAGCGCTCTTGTATCTAATCCGAGAACTTTGTAGAAGTAGTTCAAAAGAATAGGCTATGCGATAAATCGGACAAATATCAAAACGATTGTTGTTTCAATATTGATATGCTGGGGTTAAGAAGTAAGCCTATGATTTAGATTTTAGTTAGTTGATTAAAGGATAAGTTAGCCACAAATTCTATACCATCTGGTCGTTTATGATATCTAAACACATTTATTTTTGTATCATAAAAGAAAAGCGCATTCTAACGGACAGTTGTTTTATCTGTTCAGATGATTCTGCCTTGTGAGCAATGATCAGGTGATCGGTACATTACAATTCAATAAGTGTGTTCACAGTGTTACAATTAAAAATTGATTAGTATGACGGTTGAATCAGCGAACCACATAAACATGAACAAAAACGTACACCAACACCCCGACATATTGTAACAACTGGTGAACATCGTATTTACAGTTGATTGATTGAATTTAGTTGACTAAATTGCATTGTAGTCACTAATTTGAGCAACTAGACATCGCATGCACTGCCATGTTTTGACGGCCAAACCAAAACATGGCAGAAATCCATGAAGTGATTGACAAGTGGACTTAGCCATGTCGGTAGTTGTCGACTACCTGGTTAGGGTCCGCGAGATGATAATAATCGATCGTTAGAGACCTTGAATGACATGGCTCAAAATCGTTCGCAATGGCACCGGTGCATTTATTCTTTGTGTTCTCTCAAACCCTAATCTTCTGGATTCTTCAACAACTCTAGTTTTGACTTTCTAAACTTTTCTCATTGAATCATACTTCTTGAATAGTATCTTCTAATCCTAACCTCTCCGATTACTTCTAATACCCTTACTACCTCTTCTACTATTGGATTTGAATTGACAATTATATCTCTGTGCTGATGTGGTGTGGCAACATGAACTGATGTACATTTACGTACGAAGTTCTACGTTGCATCTGACTGACTGACTGATGCACTATATATCGGTATGGAAAGCGGTGGACTTGTTCTGATAGTTATCTTCTGCCTTTATAAAGGGTATGATTTTATGAATAGCGTCGTTGGTAATTAATTACACCCACCAATTATAAAATTATGGTCTTGGTATACCGATTATTTTGAGAATATAGGAATTTTGTTTGCATTAAGCTGACTTCAGTAATAATATTGGCGTTCCTCCAACCATCATATTATTTGTTTGCTAAGATGGCGTAAGGGATGCTATATTGTTACTGCTTCATGACTTCCTTTTTTTTATACCTATCCTTATCTTCCTTGTTTAAGCTGAACTTCGAGCTCAAGAGGCCGAAAGTAAAGCCCGGGATTGTGAACTTCGTTATCAAGGTTCTGAGGATCCTGAACATTTGGTAAGTTTTGTTATTCAAGCCCTATTTTGTTTATATTTAGCTATAAAAAAAATGTTACGAGTAGAGATTTAAGTCAACCTATGTCTATTGTATCACACATAGGCTACAAATTCTGGGAATACCTTTTTAACATGATTAAAAGTTCATGTACATTGACTACTGTAGTTTGTACTTGTTTTATGATTATCGTGTGTTTATGCGCTCTCTCATGTTTCATACTTTGGTTGACTGCGTGTTTACCTCCGAAATTAACTAGCGGATCGCACTCATCTACTCTGTAATAATGATATATTGCCTTGCAACCCATTAATTGTCTTCCATAAGCCATAATGGTCATAGTGTTAGTTTGATAAACTCACTATTCTTGTCAAATTAAACAAGATTATTGTTACTTAGTCATAACTTGTGTGCCACTACTCAAACCAAAGCATTTTAAAGCCCTGATTTCTTGAGATATTGTTCTTTATTCAATCGAATTTCGTAATTTACCTGACCACCAATAATCTATATTTAATCGTAAAGCACTTTGCTTTACGTTTCAAGTATTCTACTTTGAAGAAAAACACTCAAGCTTTCATTGAAACCAATAGTTTTCCACAGCTTAATCCGACAAAATACTCCCACGAGTAATATGGATTTCAATCATGTTTTTTTTCGGGGGTGTTTTATTCTATTCTATTGTTACACTGACCACCGAACGATGTTTATCGTCTAAGTGTTGCTATACACATTACTGAATGCAGATTGGAGAGAGGGAGCTTGGTAGAATTTCGACTAACCAGTGTTAGACCGTCGTTAGAAACTTGGAAGCACTGGATGGCGGTTTCGTCCTAGTATGGAACTCATTAGCAATGCACATCCACGACCCCCTAGGTTCGATTCCCTCCTGCAGGGTGGTAGATGCACACTTCTGACGAGACCGCCATCTAGTGCTTCCAGGTTTCCAATGATAGTCTACTTTTAACCAGTTCATGATTTCAATGAAACTCTATACTGATTCTTTTCGACACTAAAAGTGAAGGTTACAGCTTCAAATCCTTCTTAATTCATTTAGGTTTATGTGACTGAATCATTCACGCGTAACAGCTGTGATTTGTAACTTAATTACCACGTTCATATGTGACTTCTGGAGTTAAACAAAGTTGCTTTACCTCCTGTTAACCACATTCTTACAATACGGTCATCACAGAATATTCAATTTAGCATTTCTGAAAGGTATAAATCCCAATTTTCAATTCATTCCGACCGAGGGTCGTCACCAGCCTGACAACTATGTCGTTTTTGAAGCAAAAAAGTGGGTTTCTACGTGGACTTCTTCCTCTAGTTACCGGGTCCTGGAACAATCGGATTAGAATAGCCTATCGTGTCACTGCATTGTTGATCTTCGTTCCGTTTACCGAATAAGGTGAATTCATAATATCTACAAACATATCAGTTTAATTTAACAGTTGTTATGGATTTTAAAAGTTTGTTAGATAATCTAGTAAACACGGACATTCTTTTTTTCTAAAAGTGTTCAATTTAATCACCCCACTTCAGCAAATGTATTACTTGAATCGCCGAATTAGTTATCAAAATTCAATTTAAAAAATGATAACAGTCGTCAATCATGAAAACATTCTTCTTCTTTCTAGCGTCAAATACGACGTCTTCGTAATGCTGCCGCTGATCTACGTGGAGCTGTGGCAATGCGACAAAATGTTGTCACACGTAAACAGAAATCAATTAAAGATCCAAAAACACTAACATTTTATTTCGGTGTTAATGTTATGAATCGTGCTTGTGATGGTATGTTTGTCTATAATTGTTCCCGTCTTATTAAAATGTATCAACGTATTGGACCACAACAAGATTCAAGTATGATGTGCCGTGGTGTAGTTGGCATTGTCGATGTACCCTATATGGTTCTTGGTGAGTAATATTTGAAATAAATTGTACCTGTATCCACAATATACTACTCATCTCACCTTCAATAATTTATGATCAAGACCATTAATGTGTTTAACCGTCACATGTGAAATATGTTATGTTTTTTGACAGTATGATTCCTAATATTCAATATCGACGTTAAGTGAATAGAATACATTAGTTGGCCATTATCATCAACGTAGTTTAACTTCATTTTTGCTTTATTTCCATTACATAATATCAAATTAATATCAAATGAGGAACTAAACAGTCGTTTTATCCTAGTTTTGAACTCATCAACCACATTATCATACCCCCAAGATCTTTCTGTACTTCACAGTGAGCACAATATTTTAAAGTACTTGATCGCATTACAGTTGTCTGCATTGTAAGATTACACAATCCAGTTCCAATATTATCACTGATAAGTTTCCATCCCTTAATCGGTTAACATAGTGTCGAGGACGCTAGATCCCCAGAACTCACTTGATAAAGGTCCTATTTTTGTATTTTATGCTTTCGCGCATGGGCTGGTCAGCTCTGACCGTGAGATTACATTTCCCACCCGGAAAATTCTTGACTGTCATTGGTTGATGTGGTATTTTAGTACGCTATTTTTGTGACTCTTCCAAGAACATTTCTATCATGTATAAATAAACTCGATTTGTGTGCTTGTGAAACCTCACATTTTCTGGGTACTTGTAGAATACACTTTCTACGTACACTTATCAAGACTTCCTCTACTTAGTGGGACCTTGAGATGCTCGGATTAGAGTAGCCTATCGTGTCATTGGATCATTTGTCTTGTCCCTCGTTTACCGACTAAGGTGAACTCGTAAAAGTTTCAACAATATCAATTGACGAGCATAACACAAAAGTCATGATTTTACATTTTAAACAATTCTCTTTCTCTGTATATATGAACAAATCGTCTATTGACTATTTGGCCAACTAGATTATTTCATTTCACTCACGCCACAGCAAACTGTTGTCCCGGTTATCAAGAGCGAGTCTAATACAATTCTATAGAGGATTGTGAAAACAAAAATAACACCATTTTCTTTTATCTCTTTCCACTCTAACCCGCTTTTTTTCTGAAAATTTTTTTGTCTCATTAGAACCGACACATAATAAGCAAGATTTTGCTGATGCTAAAGAATATCGTCAATTGATGCGTGCAATGGCTGATCATTTAATGCAATATTGGGATGATTTAGGAATTGACAAAGAACCAGATAGTTTAATACGATTTTGGAAAAGTTTTGGTTATTTATCAGCACGTTGGAGAGATCCACCGAGTGTAGAAGAAAAATATGCTCGTCGTCGTTGTTGTTCCGTTTCCATTTGTGTTCAATGTGGTAATTAACTAGTTTTTTGTTGAGTTAAGCTTTTGTTTGATGGAATGTCTAACATCAGTTACATTGTTTATCCTATTCATTGTGAAATTTCACAAGCTTTATGTGCTGCTTATAACGTAGTTTTTCTAATTTCCAACTTTTCACATTATTATATCCTAGGAACCAACTTTTAGTGTAGATTTTACAGTTTCTATAGACAGTATCTTATTTCTCTGACTGTACAGTCATATTTATTCTCCTTTAGTCATGATGAGGGTACCTTTATTAAAAAGATTTCATTTTTCATGTTCATGACTTAAGTTGACCACTTAAATTGATTGCTCTTCGATACTCATCAGTATAATACTAAAATACTAAGAGAATACTACTTACAATCTAGTTCATTATGTGCGAGTAAAATCCTCTAATTCTTGAATAACTTCAGGTGTGAGTCTGGTATCCTAGTCAGTCAGTCAGTCACATGCAACGTAGAACTTCGTACGTTAAGTGTACATGAGTTCATGTTGCCATACCACATTAGCACAGAGATATAATTGTCAATTCAAATCTGATAGTAGTAGAGGTAGTAAAGGTATTAGAAGTAATCGAAGAGGTTAGGATGAGAAGATATTATTCAAGAAGTATGATTCAGTGAGAAAAGTTTAGAAAGTCAAAACTAGAGGGGTTGAAGAATCCAGAAGATTAGGATTTGAGAAAACACAAAAAATAAATGCACCGGCGCCATTGTAAACGGTTTTGAGCCATCTCATTCAGGGTTTCCAACCATTGATTACTATCATCTCGCGGTCCCCGACCAAGGTAGTCGACACCTACCAACATGACTCAGTCCATTAGTGAGTGACTTCATGGACTTGTGCCATGTTTTGGTTTGGCCGCCCCTAACTTTCTTCCAACCTATTCCTACACTACAAAACAAATAGGTGGTTCTAAATTGTCTCTGATATTATCTTATCCAATTGTCTGGCTAATCTTAATATCGCCAACAAATAGCAATCTTTATCACTGCACAGCATTTCGTAAACTGTCTACTTCTCCAGTGTCACAAACCAATCCTAGCTGTAGCGAAATTCACTGAAACAGCTTACTGACTAGCTTTTTATAATGTAACTGAACTATTTTTTGACAAGATTTATCAGTTTATTGTATTATTACTACCGAAGTTCACATTTGATATCATGAGTTATGATGTACGTGAAATATCATTCCTCCATGCATAAACCTGAACGTTTTTCAGCTAATTGTAATGTAATGTGCCAAGAGGATATTCAGAATATCCCATTTTCGATAAATACATTAATTTTTGGTGTTTGCTAAAAATAGATAATCATCTATAATCAATTCTGTTCATGTGTTAAAAACCGTGACGTTTTCTATTTTTTTATGGTACAAACAACTTGTGCTCAAAGTACTCTACTAATTCACATATTCAAGTTCTTGTATACAACACCAATATCTCTGTAACCGCTTTAAACGTTTTCCTACATCTAAGTCAATATTTTTGTTTAAAATCTTTGAAAAGCAATCATTTAGTCGTTCTCGTTAGTCGCTCATCAATATAAAATACATTCGTTTTAGCTTAGCATGTTGCAAATATTTGTCTTTGGTATATTTTTCTAAGTCTATTTCACTAGATTCTACTTCTTGAATAATATCTTCTAATCCTAACCTCTCCGACTACTGCTAATACCTTTACTACCTTTACTACCATGGGATTTGAATTGACAATTACATCTCTGTGCTAATGTGGTATGGCGACATGAACTGATGTACTTACGTACGAAGTTCGACGTTGCGATTGATTGACTGATTGATATCAATATGTTGTGATATTTTCTAGTTAATTTCTTAATTTATAAGAAGCATTATTATATTTCCCAAAGTGAAGCATTTTCGTTTGCATAATCTGTATGCATAAGCAGCAGATGGCAGATCAATCGATTAAGTTGTCAGTCTTCATCAGCTGAGGTGGTTGCAACGCATGTTTCGAATGCCTAAGCACCGACTACCCCGACGAGCTATGGTAGGTGGTGTAGGGATAAGCTGGCACAAATTCACTGACAACTGAACTGAGTCATGTTGGTAGGTGTGGACTACGTGGTAAGGGTCGATAAAGCGATTAAAACCGGTGGTTAGAGACTTTGAATGAAATGGCTCAAAATCTCTTGCACTAGCGCAGATGCATCCATTCTTAATGATATTCAGATTTTGTAAACTTCTGAATTCCTGATGACTGTTTCTTTTTCTCTTTGTAAATTTATTTTACTGGTTTGTACTTCTCGAATGGTATCTTTGATCCCTAGTCTTTCTGATTACCGCTAATACTGCTGCCACTTCTATTACTATAGAATTTGAATTGAAAATTCGATCTCTATATACTAATGTGATATGTCGAATTGAACTGATGTACGTACGTACCAGGTTCCACATTGTAGCTGGCTCATTGTATAAGCAGCAGAATATGATATTCATATCTTTTTTTTAAAAAAATGAGTTCATACCGAAATCATGTTCAGTGCTTGTTATAAATCTCTCTTACTATTATACCCAGCTATTCCTATTGCGTAGTATTTATTCTCTGACAACAATACACTCGACAAGTCCCCAAATCGGAACATGGTTGAACAGGAAAAGATTATATTCCAAATAGCAAGGTTAAATGGAAGTAAGAAGCCCGAAGCGAAGGCGAAATAGGAACAACGTTAGTATCTTTATGAGAAGCTTCTGGAATGTACTCCAAGTATCGACTTACGTCGAATGAATAAGATTTAGTCAATCACCGTGCATCTAACAACATTAGAAACTTATGGAATGTTCTCCAAGTATCGACTAGGCGCTGATTGGGTAGGAATTAACCAATCAGAGTGCAGTTAACTCAGTCATAATTTAATTCATCCATGTCCCGCTAACAGTGCTATTTTGAAAATTAAAATTATCAAGTTTCCTCCTAACTCTCTGTCCGATTCATTCTGTGTTTTATACATATAGATAGACAGACAGACAGATACGACGCAGAACTTCGTACGTATCGTACATCAGTTCAGGTTGCCATGTCCCATCAGCACAGAGACCCAACTATCAGTTCAAATCCAAGAGTGATAGCAATAATAGAATTAATGGAGAAGATTAGAGAGCGAAGATATGATTCGAGAAGTATAATTCAGTAAGATAAATTTAGAAGGAGAAAGTTAGAGATTATGAGGAATTCAGAAGGTTAGAATTAGAGAGAACACAACGAGTGTATGTACCTGCGCCATTGCAAACAATTCTAGGCCATATCATTCAAGGTCTCTAACCATTGGTGACTATCGTCTCGCGGACCCCAATCAGGTAGTCTACATCTACCAACATGATTCATTCCACTTGTCAGTGACTTCATGGATTTGTGCCATGTTTTGGTTTGGCCGCCCTTAGCTTTCTTCCAATCTACTACACTGCAAAACAGCTCCTCGCGGCAGTCGGTGTTTAGCCATATGTAACACATGTTTTATACATATATATATTTTCTTGAACGAATTATGTACAAATTACCAGTTAAAAATTTCTGTATTGCTTTTTTATTTATTGTCTTTTTATTTAGATAAATGCTTAAAATGGAGAATACTTCCTTTTTCACAAAGTCTAGTTGGACGTGATGTTCCAGACAATTGGCAATGTCGTGATAATCCGGATCATAAGCATAAAAGGTTGTTACACACACCCACACGTATTTAAACAGTCTATGTTTGTGGGTTTTTTGTTTTAAATATGATTGATTAAGTTCTTTCATTCACTTGAGACGATGATATTTTATCTCTTCTATGTAAGATGGATAATAATTTTTCTTGTCAATCTATGTCACTGAACGAAATGAGTATGTTTTCATGCTTTTTCTTCTTACGTACATTCCAATGCTAGGGATATATGACTAGAAGTGTATTAATAAGTGTTGACCAACTGTCTCGTATGTAGTTTTCATAATTCCTTGCTGAAATTGAATGTGGCTGTAACTGAGTGACTACTCAGTCAGTCAGTTACTATGTAGAACTTTGTACATACGTACATCAGTTCAAGTTGCCATAACACAGCACAGAGAAATCGAATTGTCAATTCAAATCCCATATGAGTAGGCAGAAGTATTAGCAGTAATCGGAGAGATTGGGGTTCGAAGAAATTATTCAAGAAGTATAATTCAGTGAGATAACTTTAGAAAGAGAAAGATAGAGGTAATGCGGAATTCAGTGGATTAGGATTTGAGAGAAGGCAAACAATGGATGCACCTGCACCATTGCAAACGATTTTGAGCCATGTCATTCAAAGTCTCTGATCATCCGTTACTATCATTTCGCGGAGCCCAACCAAGTAGTCGATACCTACCAACATGACTCAGTCCAGTTGTCAATGACTTCATGGATTCGGGCTATTACTGACTACTGTCTTAAAGTGATCATTTACATCTCAAATTCTCAACAAAAACACATGACACGATTGTTGTGTTCTACTGCTAGAGAATGCAATGCTAAATGACCTTGGGATAAGAGAATCAATGTATGATTGACTGTAATGTTTTTAAGGGTTATTGACTTCAAAACAAACTTTTGTAAGTGTAAATTTATTTACTGCTTATTACTTTTTGAATTCAAACCAGTTGTAACATTAACATTTTACATTTATTTAAAAAAAGAAACTACACTGTTCAAAATCACTTCAAACCGATATTAGTTTTCTTTTTACTTAATATTAGGTTAATTTCAAGTGATTTTAATACAATTTATTATTCTTGTTTAAGTGTGTTGCATTTCAATGCGAAGTGACGACTTGGTAATTTAAATGTTTTTCATTAATCCTACAACCGACTATAATTGTGTTGAGATGTGACCAGTGGAGTTCAACTCTGTCGGGGTGTAGGTAGTAACTAATGAAGACAATAGGTGAAGCTCTGCAAAACCTTAGATTGGTCTGAGTTAGAAACTAACACCGCTGGTTGCCGGCTTATTAGTCCAGAGGTTAAGCAATCGAAGCGTGAACGAAAACAGATTGTAACCCCTTATCAGATGAATAGTAATTTCACTTACTTACAGATTAGCTTCGACATTTATGCTTTCAAATTAAAACAACTCTTTCACATGCTGATTACATTAACGTGTATCCAATTTCTTAGTCAATTGAATTGATATATTGGAAAAGAAATGCACAAATACTTTCAATCGGATGACATTGAATACCCTCTTTGTATGTCGGTCGAGGCTCAATTAATCGCTTACTGACTATCTGTGAATTTGATTTTTTTCAACACTCCTTTTATCGATTGTCTCATATAACTTAACCTCCATGTGTCTCCTTTTCTCAATGCTCTTCCTTAACCTAATCGTGTCACTAATCTGATACTTTTGGCGTGCCGTGTTTTTTTGTGTTAAGTAAACTAAACTAAAGGCTATCTAGTTTATATAGAAGTTGATTGATTTATGGAGTATCGCCTTTCACCGTCATGGAGCATAGGCCCCCCTACCAAGATTCTCCAACTAACTCTATCCTGTACTCTCCTTTTCAGTTGTTCCCAATTTCGCTATTCATTCGTTTGATATTTGTTTCCGATTCTCGGCATAACGAGTTCTTTGATCGATAGATACTAGGCGTAATTAGCTTTAATCAAAACATCTTTCCCTGTTCTTTCAAATACCGATTCATTTAAACTATCTATACATATCATGTGTCAGCATTAACTACTAAATTAAACCAATGAATAACTGTCAACTATATTTCATTTCTCTGAACAACCAGTTGTTTATGAAATCAATTTAAAGTTTATTCGCCTAGAATTTTTCAAATAATAAATAAATTCCCCCCTTTTTCTGCTTTAAATATGATCGGTTATTATTATTATTTAACAATTTGAAGATGTGAAGATCCTGAAGAAGATATGAGTCCACCAATGGGTGTTTTAAAGCGGAAAATTAAAACGAAAGAACAAAGACAAGCAGAATTAGAGAAACAAATTCGTAAAAAACAAGTAAGTATTTTTTTTTCGTTTTTACATTGTCAATTTTCATACAACCAATGAAATGAGTTTATAGATATGCATAGGTTAATAACAATGCATGATCTAGTTTGCTAATCGACTGCTCGATTTGAATTGCTAGTTTCTTCTAATAACTTCAGACTAAATCTCTCCGGCGACTTGAACACAAAAGATTAGGTACGTGGAACTTCGTACGTACGTACATCAGTTCAAGTTGCCATACTCCGTTAGCACAGAGGTACAATTGTCAATTCAAATCCCATAGTAGTAGTAAAATTATTAGCAGTAATCGGAGGGATTAGGGTTCAGCGATATTATTCAAGAAGTAGAATCTAGTGAAATAAACTTAAAAACAAAAGATGAGGGTGATCAGGAACTCTGAAGGTTATGATTTGAGAGAACACAAAGAATGAATTCACCCGCGCCGTTGCGAACGGTTTTGAGCCATGTCATTCAGGGTCTCTAACCATCAGTTACTATCATCTCGCGATCCCCTACCAGGTAGTCTACACTTACCAACATGACTCAGTCCAGTAGTGACTGACTTCATGAATTTGTGCCATGTTTTGGTTTGACAGCCCCTAGATTTCTTCCAACCTATTTGAAGTGGGAAAAATTACATTATACTTTGGTTAAGGTATGTGTAACGTTGTTCGTGTTGGGAGCAGTATGAAGATAACTATCCAATCAGCAATGTAACGTGATCTGTTATCCTTCTAGATGTTTAGAAGACACTTCTATTCAATCCTAATTGGACTAAATATTTATTTTCAATCGTTTTCTGCTGTCCCTATAAACTTTTTCGAAGTGTATTTTGAAACTCTCCAACACATTCTTAGGTTTCCTTTATTTCCACCTACTGAGTTATGTAATTTGCGGAGAAAATGTATCCGTCTGTTATTAGTTCGTTTTGATTGTTCTTATGAGTTTGACTAATGACGAGATTTCATTTCGTTTTTTTTATTCATCTAGGAAGAACTTGAACTTATTCAAGATCCTGATGATGAAAAAGTTGATGAATCCAATACTACTACTCGTAGTGGTCGTTTAAGTGGTCATGGAAATTCAACTCTTTCAAAATCTCCTCGTAAACGTCCTCATCCACCACCTCCTGCAACTATTTCAGACCTTCCAAACAAACGGCCTACTCAATCCCCTATTTCACGTGCAATGACTGTTGCAGATAAAAAACGTCAAGCTGGATTGACAACATCCAATGGTCCTGTATCATTATCATCATCATCCCAAAAACGTACTGGTTTACCATTACCTACAAGTAATCAACGACAACCACGTCCTGGTGGTTTAGTGCCTAAAGCTCAGCATCGAAATTCTACTACGCCTAAAGTAAGTTTATGTATGTAAAATGCTACCTGATAGTTTCATCGCATTTTTATTCTACTGTATTAAAATACATTCATATTCTAAAAGTTACTAATTGAAATTCTGTTGTAACGCTGCTACGTATAGCTCTTCAGTCCTAACGGCGTCCAATTCAAATATTCTAATACGACCCAAAATGTTATTTCCAAATCTCCTAGATATCAGAATGTAACATCGTGGAAGGAAGTTGTTTATTGGGTCGAATAAAGAAGAAGAGGTAGGCAGGAGAAACGGAATTATTCAGTCTTTCAGATAGTACGTATTTATACACTAAGGTCGAATAAGAAAAAGCATCGTCTCTGTGACATTGACAATTTAGGACGACCAATAGAAAAGAACATTTGAAATGACATCGACAGTCCCGATGACCAATAAGAGGTGACATTGAAGTATTTGACCTTGACAGTTAGAACGATCATAATTTCGGCCAATAGAAATCGACCAATAGTATTGTATTTCTAAAAATAATATTCTTAGGATATTTGGTGAATATCCTAACAAATTCTCTTACCACTATAAAAATATATATCAATGAACTCAGTTTGTCACAAAGCTGTATTTCTTTTGAACTTTTATTATCTCAGTTAACTAATGTTATGATTTTTTAAAATTATAAAATGAATATTTCTAACAGCTACTTCTTTTAAGCAGATACGGAAAAAGTACATTTTCTCTTCTACTACCCTATTCTACAACAATGAAGAAGTTAAACTATTGAATAGATGATGCTTAGAACCCTTCAGAGAAAACTGATTGAGAGGAATCTGTTCGCTTTAAGCCTGTTTGAAATGTGTTCTGTCTTCTAAATGTAAAATGTTGCTTTCAGGACTGATCTGAAAGTTGAACGTATCAAGTGCTTCACTTGTCTTGGAAATCTCATTGGACTTGTTCGGTTGGGTCCGAACGAAATCTGAGCACACAGTCAGGAAATTCAATTGGCTTTTTCCATCTTACTGCACTTATGATATCGATGAAATATCAATCTACCAACCTAAGGACAAGTATACTACGCACCAGTTCTCTGTATATTACTCTGTGGCTATGAAATAGCCTATAAAAGTATGAGACATGGGTAGACTGCAAGTTTTCGATCATAGGTGTCTTCGAAAAATTGGTCTCATTTCGTAAAACGATCGACCAGGAAAGGTTAGCCACAAAGGTGGCTAATCAATCATCCGATAAGATTGTGAACCTGCTGACGTGGTTAGAGCATGTGCCTAACCATCACCTACCTCGAAGGCAATGTTGGATGATAATGTGAGAGTAGGTTGAAAGGAAGCCAGGGGTAGTGGATGAAGTTATTAATTTTTTGTCTACTCTATGTTGATAGATGCAGATTAGCTAACTGAGATGCACAAAACAACTGATTAGTGGTTGTGAAGCTTGTAAAACAGGGTTCAGAATCGGTCACAGTGGCCCATAAATTCTAGCATTCCTTCGTATATACCTTTTCATTTTGTTTTCCCTAACCATATTCTTATTATTTAGCCTTTCTTATTTCAGCTACATTATTTCGAATCCTTCACTTTCCGTTTCGATAATCTCAGCTCGTCACGCTAATGTGTGATTTGGCAACTTTGGTCAACGCACGCTTTTGCTAAGCGCTACATTATGACTGACTAACAATTTTTGCTTCCTTATTCATCATTTCGAACTTTTCTACTTGTTTTTTTATTTAGGGTCGTAAAGTTACCACAGCAGAAAGTGAAAGTAGTGAAGATGAAGACGAGGAAGAGGAGGAGGAGACAAGTGACGAAGAAGAAAAGGAAGCGACCTCGAAATCAGTTTCGCGTAACAAACAAACTACAGCCCCCCTTACTAAAGTAAATTATTTCATTTGTATTGTATATAATGGGGCAAAAAACGTTTTGCCGACCTGTTTATATCGTATTATTTACCCAAAACCAATACATAAATATATAAATGGGGTTTCGTTAAGTCAATAGATAAGCAAAAACTATTAAAAGCTAAAGGAGATATGTCAAAATCATGCTTCATATTGGCTTAGTGAAGATGTTTATCTCTCTTCCCAGGAAGTATCATCCAGCATATTGTAATGTAGACATTTATTCCTTCTGAACTGTATTTCTCCTACACCGATATATTACTTTGAGATGGTGGAGAAAATTTGTAGCTCAGTGTTGTAACGGTTGCTTAAATGATTCCCAGCTAAATCCTATTGCTTAGTATTCTCTGACCACAATACACTGGACAAGTTCCAAAGAATCAAAAACACGGTTGAACAGGAAAAGATTATATTCCAAATAGCAAGGTTAAATGGAAATAAGAGCCAAAGGTGATGGCGAAGGAGAAGGCCAAAAATAGATACAACGTTAGTCTATTTACAGCATTTACATGAGAGGCTTCTGGACAGAAATTCACGTGATCGACTGGATTAGATTTAGCCAATCAGCATTCAGCTAACAATACAAAATCTTCTACTCTGTTCTCCAAGATTCGATCAGGCGCTGATTGGATTGGAAATTAGCCAATCAGCGCGCAGCTGACGCAGTCATGCTTTATTTCCATCTATGTTCCACTAACACTCAGGTGGATGATTGTCATGGTGTTTCGTTCTCTGAGCTCGATCTTTTGGTTGTGGAGCTTTCATTGTTTTGTTTCTGAACAACATCATCAGCGTAAACATCAGATAGAAGTGAAGCATTCGAAGTTTGTGCTGATGATGTTGTTCAGAAAAACAATGAAAGCTCCACAACCAAAACATCCAACTCAGGGAATGAAATACCACCACAATATATTACTTTCCACTTCATTGAGTCGATTTCCTTCCATTGCTGTCTGTCTTATGGAGTCAATAGACGCAGTAGTGACACTTCATCAGTTGAGGTGGTTGGAACATGTGTTGCGTATGCCCAACCACCGACTGCCTCGTCGAGCTTTGTTTTGTACTGTAGGAACAGGTTGGAAGAAAGTTAGGGGCGGCCAGACCAAAACATGGCAGAAATCCGTGAAGTCATTGAATAGTGGACTTAGCCATGTCGGTAATTGTCGACTACCTGGTTGGGGTCCGCGAGATGATAATAATCGATGATTAGAGACCTTGAATGACATGGCTCAAAATCGTTCGCAATGGTGCCGGTGTATTTATTCTTTGTGTTCTCTCAAATCATAATCTTCTGGATTCTTCAACATCTCTAGTTTTGACTTTCTAAACTTTTCTCACTGAATCATACTTCTTGAATAATATCTTCTAATCCTAACCTCTCCGATTACTTCCAATACCTTTGCGACCTCTTTTGCTATTGGATTTGAATTAACAATTACATCTCTGTGCTGATGTGGTATGGCGACATGAACTGATGTAATTACGTACGAAGTTCTACGTCGCATCTGTCTGATATAACCATTCGAACTGATACTGTGCACACACTCACGCACACATATATATATATATACTGCACACTACATCCTTACTTTCGTAAAACAATTAATTGTCCAATAGACTTCATTCATATCTGTTTTCTTGTTTTTAGTAAATCATAATTATATCAATATTGAATAAATATTCAAATAGTTTTTTTTTTCTGTCATTGATTTTTTTTTTAAATTTCATTTTGTTTGATCTTATCTTTTTAGACAAAATTGAATATTTCACAAACTCTTGAAAAAAATCTTCCTAAACCACCAACAGATGAAGTAAATGGTAAAAAAGTAATGAATAAAGATAAAAGTCCCATGCATGATTCAGTCACAATGCATCATCGTAATCGAACTTCCATTATTACTTCAGATAATGGTGATATGACGTCTGTAGTAAATAAGTAAGTCAAAAATGCCAATGCAATACCCTTCTATTATTATTATTGAGGTACTACTGAGAAGACTGATGCAGGTGCGGAAGATTGTACTGCGCCAATTTACACTCTGAGTCAATTAAAAACGATAACTTTACATTGAATACACTCTATTTGCACATCATCTTTGAGTCGTGACTTCCAACACTCCATCATCATTCTTCCATTCCTGTTGTTGCTTCCTGTTGGTACTCCATTTACTTCTTGCTTTTGCTCCATTTGCTTTCCGTTTTCCTCTTCTGACCGTGAGACTTCTTCTTTCACGTCCCTTCTTATACTACTTATGTTGTTCGTATAAGTAGCACACACCACACACTACCCCTAACTCAGGTCTCTTATGGTCGAAAAATGAAAATTTCTCTATTACGAATACGATCATTACCCGACATTGAGACAAAAGGTATTAAAAGAGTGTTTGAGACTATTTTTTCATCAAGCTAGGCTGCATCTCAGTGCTATCCTATGCCATACTATGTGTAGACCATATGCTATACTGCTTGCTATATAGATAGAGCTGAAGGTTTCACCTATGAGACCAGAGGTTCGCTGTGATAAACATTGTGGATGGCTTGGCATTACTTTTGGTAAGTAGTGTTAACAGTCCATCTACAAAATTGATTAGCATGGTGACCGATTTCATTGATAATACTGGTGGTTGTTTTGCAACATACCCAAAGGCCGTTGTCATTGAGGTGCTGTATTACATATCACCATCGCTAATAATAATGAGTTTGACAATCATGTAAGTGTTCTCTCAAATCCTAATCTTCTGGATTCTTCAACACCTCTAGTTTCGACTCTCTAAACTTTTCTCACTGAACCATACTTCTTGAATAATATCTTCTAATCCTAACCTCTTCGATTACTTCCAACACCTTTACTACCTCTTCTACTATTGGATTTGAATTGACAATTATATCTCTGTGCTGATGTGGTATGGCAACATAAACTGATGTACTTACGTACAAAGTTCTACGTTGCATCTGACTGACTGACTGACTGATGGGTCGAAATGTCTTGTTCATGCGGTGCATATTGATTGACGCGATTAATGGTTCGGAAATAATCACTATATATGTACTAGTGTATATAAATGGTGTAAATAGTCCACCAGGATATCCGGTACCTGTGTGTGTTTACACCACGGGAATGAGCCGAACTGTTTATGTCGAAATGCTAACATGGGAGCAATCGCCTTGAGTCTCCTGAAAACCATTGCAAAATTGCCCTTGACAATAGAGGGTTACTTTGTATTATATAAAAAACTATTGTTATTACTGTAATGAAGGAGAACACAGGTGAGGGCAACCGAATTGTATTTATCTCAAAATACAGAGTTACTCAGTAAAATAGGAAAACCATATCGTAAATCATTAATTTGCAAAATATCAATCCATCATATCGAACTGGACTGTTCCTGTTGCAAAACATCAATCCATTGTCTGACATTTCACTATTCATGCGTTTCATACAAATCCCATTGTGTTCCCACTCTTCCTTTCTCTTGATCTTCCTCTCATCTTCTGCTGCCAGACATTACGTTGATACTCACGTCATATACTACTTATAAGTAGCTCGCACCATATTACTACTATTATTATCATTATTACTATTATTATTAATAAAATAGTTTGTATAGCGGTGTTCAATTCACCAATCATAAAGAATTGGGTCATAAATTCTGTACTATAGTAGTGATCAAAGTTCAAGTATGTTAGTAATGATTCTATATTAAAAATTTGAAAATACGATTATGTAATGAGGCAGAAAGAAGAGTAAATAACAATTATCTATTGTAAATGTAAATGTAAATGTGAATAATAAAATAACGGTTGAGAAAAATTATCGGATGATTTAAAAGATTATTGAAAACCAATAAATACAGAAATGATTTTTCATTATACAGTTATGTAGATAGTTGTTTTACATTGAAATCGTGAATGAGTGAATTATTGTGAGACCACTAGTAGAAACCTATCAGCACCGGACGGCCGTTTCGTCCTAGTATGGAACTCTTCATCAGTGGAAATCCCCCACTCCCGCTGGCGGTAATCAAACTCAGGACCTTCGGTCTCACAGACGAAGGCTCAGCCTCCTGGACACTAACACCATTGGATGCCAGCCCAGTGGTTTAGAGGTTATACGTTCGCACGTGAGACTGAAGATCCTGGGTTCAATTCCCACGAACGGGGTTCTTGGATGCACTCTGCTTATGAGTCCCATATTAGAACGATACGATAGTCCAATGCTTCGGGGTTTCTAGTAGCGGTCAAACAATCATTCATTCATGATTTCAACGTAAAGTACATTAATGTAGTACCACTGATATTGATTTCAATCTATAACACTTAAAGTTTCCAACAAATAGTTAAGATTATTTTCAAACCTGTTAGATAATATCTCTTGAATTTCTTTTGCGTGGAGGAACTGATTTTCCCTTTTCTACGCAGTATACTTAGTCAACCAGTCGATCATTCTTTTTAAACTTATCTGTATAACAATTAATGGACCATTAGTATCAGTTTCAAGATTTTCTCAATGGTCAGTACACCTAGGGGTTGATGAAACTTAAATTTAAGTTATTTAAACGTGCCCAGCTACTTTATTGAATATTACCAAACCAAATATTGGTATGAACCGAAACTAAAATATCATTTAGCACTTTAGAAATAAGGAGTACATTACTAACGCTCTTGTATTAGTACTTTTAAAAGATAAGCGATAACTAAAGTAGTCACATATTTACGCTAGTTTTGACATTATTCATAGCTGATTAATGTTTCAAAGTATTTTTTTAACGTTTAAATTACATACTTACACCTGTACCCCTAATGGAGCATAGGCCCACAATTACCATTCTCCAACATACTCTTTCCTGTACCTTCCTTTCCAGTCCTATCAAATTGCTGCTGATTCTTCCCACGTCTGTCTCCATTACTCGGCGTGATGTGTTCTATGGTCTTCCTCTTTTCCATTAACCTTGAGGATTCCAAGTGAGGATTTGCCTTGTGACGCATTCGGGTGTTTTCTGCATTGTGTTTCCTATCCACCTCTAATACTATTTCTTAATTTCTTCTTAATCTGAAATCTGGTTCTCTGGTTCTCTCCCACAGCAGATTGTTACTGATTGTGTCTAACCGACAGATCTTCAATATCTTGATTAAACAAACTGTTAATAAACACCTGTATCTTGTAAATGATGTCTTTCGTGTAATTATCCAAGTTTCCGTTCCATATAATCCATACAATCTTGATAACTGCATTGAAAACTCAGAATTTGGTGCTGGTAAAACAGACAATTCTTCTGAGTTCCACATGTGCTCCAGTTGTGGGGAAATACTGCCCTTGTTTTACTTACTAATAATCTCTGTCTTGTTTATCGATGACACTTAATGTTGAAATCATTTGTCTTAAATCTTTCATCAAAACTTACACTTTAATAGACTATCAATAAATTATAAACTAATATAACACTGCCTTTACTTATGTAAAATTCAACTTGGAAATAATGCATTCACTAACTGATTTCTAGTCACCTTGTAGTGAAGGCGAACACAGGTGAGGGCGACCGCATTGTATTTATCGCAAATTACAGAGTTACTCAGTAAAACAGGAAAACCATATCGTAAATCGTTAATTTGCAAAATATCAATCCATTGTCTGACATTTCACTTTTCACATGCGTTTCATACAAATTCCATTGTGTTCCCATTCTTCCTTTCTTGATGTTCCCCCATCTTCTGCTGCCAGACATTACGTTTTTATTCGCGTCATATACTACTAATAAGTAGCGCGCACCACAACCTCTGTGGTAGAAAATTACAACTTCTGTGTCTTCTATTGTTTTACATAATTAACACTGCATCAAACGTAGCTATGAACTACTTAGTTAAAAATGTATATAAAACATTTTACTGAATTGTTGTGAATTGTTCAAGTTATGTTTCTAAAAATAACTTGCACACTATGTAGTTAAGTACTTTTGTACAGAGTAAGTTCACTACTCTGATGAACTCTATCTGTACTTAGTAATGTCATCGTAATCTTTTTAATTACTGCTATACTGTTACAACTTCTACCATTATAGGATTTGAATTGACAATTCAATTTGTGCGTGCTAATGCGTGGTATGGTGACTGAAACATCGGACATCTCTACACACATGTATATGATGGTAGAAATAATGAATCTTTGTATTTTATATTATGCTTCATAATTCAATCATTTTATAGTCAAATTGACGTTTTCATCACTAGTCCGTTATGTCTGAATTGTTTCAGTTCGTAAATTGATTGTTAGAGGTATATGTGATTGAAATCCTCTTCAAAGTAATACGATAGTTGGTTGTTGATATGCTGTGCTTATTCCTTTAACTGTATAATACTCTAGACATACCTAGGTAAGGATGGTAAATCAATGGACGAAGTAGTGAAACTTCCTCGATCAAAGTGGCTGAGACATGTGTTGCGAATGCCCAACCACTGATTGCCTCGACGAGCGGTGTTTGTGATGCAGGTATGGGCTTGAAGAAAGGTACAGTCGGCCAGAACAAAACATGACACAAATCGATGCAACAACTGGCTAGTGGACTGAATCATGTTGGTAGGTGTCGTCTACCTAGTTGGGGTCCGCGAGACAAAAGTAACCGATGGTTAGAGACCCTGAATGGCATGGCTCAAAATCGTTTGCAATGGTGCAGGTGCATTCATTCTTTATTTTCTCTGAAATCCTAAACTTCCGAATTCCTCATCATTTTATCTTTTGATTTTTAAGTTTATTTCACTAAATTCTCCTTCTTGAATAATATCGTCGAACCCTAAAACTTCCGATTACTGCTAATACTTTTACTACTACTATGGGATTTGACTTGACAATTGTATCTCTGTGCTAATATGGTATAGCAACTTGAACTGATGCACACTTACGTACAAAGTTCTACGTTGCTGTTGATTGATTGACACACCGTACCATAATGAAAACTATTTATCCTTAATTACAGTAGTGTTTCGTAAATAAATTCCGTATATATGTATATATTGCATCTATTTTTTTTAGAATATTTTATTTTGAATTATTCAGTGATAAATTTGGGCAATTATAAATGGATTCAGCTTTTTCAACTGTTAGAACTAGAATTTCAATCACTCTTCACTTACTTGTTTCTAAAGAGAGAGACCAAATAGCAAACAGTGGTCTATTATAATGGTTAGGGCATTCATTCAACATTCAACCAACAATACACACACAGCTCAACTGCCAAACTTCTGCACTTCAATTTGCGCAATCGGATAGAGTTGTTACATTGAAGGAAGGATAACCAAGTACACCTAGTGAATGTGTTGGTTTTTTGTATTTTTATCACTTTTAAACAAACACTGTTGCTCAAATCTCTGCGCTTAAGTATTGTATACCATGATTCATTAATTAGTCAAGTAACAGTAACATATTAGCATTATATTTTCGCCTTATTGTAATTTTTGATTTTGATTTCATGAATTTATGATTGAATACTTTCTTATTACTTTATTTACTACTAATCATCATTGTGATCGTTAGCTTTCTACTACTACTCTGATAATTTCATCTGTCCGTGTGTGTGCACGTGTGTGCACGTACTAAAGCGCAGTGTGTATGACAACTTGAACAACTAATGTCCATGTTACAAAGTTGTATTGTTTTAATTATCATTATTATTATTTAACTAATTAATTTTCTAATGACTAAATTGATATATAGTATTTCAACTTGTTTTTTAAAATTTTCACAGCGTTTTTTAAATTTTTTTTTGAAAAAATAAAATAAGAACTACTTTTAATGAAAATCTTCTTTAGCAATCGCTTTTAAACAATTGCGACGTACGTGTCTTGAATAATAACCTTGTAAATCATCCCTGGTTAATTGATTTACAGAATTTAGTAATCTGAAGTCTATAAATTATCCTTCTTATATATATAGATTCAATAGAAAGGCCTATAGAAAATATATTTTCTATTTTTTCTCGAATTTCTACCAATCGTTATTAACGGGTTTAATTCTATATATCAATTCTTCAACAAAATTGATATATAATATCACCGCATATCTTCTTATTTGATGGTTTTCCTGTTTTTTTTTCTTCTCAACTCGCCAATCCTTTTTATATATACAACCTTATAATATATATTTGTAGCGGCCTGAGAATAGTTTACATCTGTAAGAAATGCTGCATCCTTGACGCTCTGTATCCATCTTCAATAACTATTTTTTTATAAGGCTTTTTCTTTTTTCATTCGAAATCAAATTGTTTTTTTCTATTTATTTCTGACATTCTAAGGATTACAAAAAATTTTAAAAAACGCTGTGGTTATTTTAAAAAATTGTTTGGTTATTTAAAAAAAACGCTGTTAAAAGTTTAAAAAACGAGTTGAAATACTATATATAGATTTGTATTTGCTAACTTCTTTGTTTGATTTTTTTCTTATAAAAAATAAAGGGATCAAAATAAACCGAATGATTCTATTGGTAATAAAACGAAAGAATTAAATTCAATTGTAAACTCTTTACCATCTGATATGGTAAGAAAGATTTATTGATATTTATACATACATTTTGTAAAATTTTAATACTTTGAATGTTAATGTTTAATAATTAATGAAACATATCTTATGCATGCATGTATGTATGTATATACGAGTGTGTGTTTTTGTGGTGGAGAGTTTCATTCTGTGAGCCTGGATGTTTTGGTTATGGAGCGTTTAATTGTTCTTCTGAATAATATTATCAGTACAAAATTCAGGTACAAGTGAAGTATTCGAATTTCTCCACGTATGACTTGTAACGTCATGAGATCTTTCCCTTATATCAAAACTATGGCCATGCATTCGATTGGAACAATATTGAAATACTGGATAGAAGGAAGAGTACAAAGAACACTAGAGAATTATTAGAAGTTTGACACTCAGGTTGATCGGAAATCAATAAACACATCGCCACTGATCTTATTTATCAACCAATTAAAAAAGTCATAGACGAACATAGGGTGAAGTAACAGATCAAAGGAGGATCTAATCAGAAAAAAAGGTGCAGACAACGACAACCAATCAAGATCGAGCTCAACAGAACAAGCTACCAGTAGTCATACATGGAGAAATTCGAACGCTTCACTTCTACCTGAAGTTTCTGTGGATGATTTGATTCAGAGGAACGATAAAAGCTCCTCTACAACCAACATTCCAAAACTTTTTCGTCTTGGATAGATTTATCGTTGTTATTGTAAATTATCTACTCAGTTCTTCAAGATCGTGGTCAATATATTTCGTGAAACTCAAAGAAAAGCTCATCATTTTGAGTACTTTCCTCTCAATAGATTTATTCAGTTTGATTGGAAATCAGTATCAAAATATTTAAGTACTTACTATAATCTCCTGGGTACTTTTGAGTCCTGCTTCCTGTCGATGGACACTGTAGCTAACTTACTGATCATAAGACTCAACTTTTTATTTTGTAAGTTCGAAACTGGGATCATTTTCAAACCAAAAAGTTATCTAGTACTAGTCGTTTTTCGGCTACCATGGTACGAGGCCGTATCTAGCTCGTTTGTCATTGACTAATAAAATTGATTGTACAAGATCATTGATTGAACTCGGTACCATCTGATAAACTGTTGAATACATCAGACTGCGATCTAACCTGTTAGTCGAATATCAACTCTACTGACAATTTGAATAATTTCTAAAATCAGTATTTTCCAGTTACTTGTGACATGTCAAATCATGTTTATTTTTTGTATTTGTCAATCGACATTTTTTCTTGGTTAATTAGGGGTTGTTTTCTTTTATATCAGTTCATATGAAAATAAAATGTACGGTTGTAATGGAGTTTCAATAACCACCCATAATTCGGCTACGATGTGTCCCATTACATCAGTGAAATTTTGAGCTGGTGGTTAGAATGAGCATGAGACTATCCTCCATGTTTGGAAATAGCAGACTTTTGCCAAAAGTTAAGCTTCCACCCGAGAACAGCTCTGCTTTCTCCATGAATGTCTTCGTCGGCATGTTCTGCCAGCTAGTATCAGATACAGACCACTCATAAACTGCCCAACGAGATGGTGAATATGTCAGTAGATTGGAACTATAGTCTGCACTACGCAAAACTATCATCAAAACTGACAGAGAATTAATGACAGTAATCAGGATAGAAAAAGTTATTTTGTATAGTAGACTTTCAAGAGTCGTTTTTTAAATTACCAAATCATAAACATATCAACATACCCATCATTGATTGAAATTCTGATTATTGTAAATACGTATTTCCTCAGCTAACAGTGCTTATTATCTTAAAATCGATTGGAAAAGAGCTGTGGTTGGGACCAAACTAAAACATGGCACAAATCTATGGAGTCACTAATATCGCGAATGTGAGTCATGTTGATAGGTGTAGACCACCGGGTTGGGGACTGAGAGATGATCGTAATCGATGGATGGAGACTTTGAATGACATGGTTCAAAATTGTTTGCAATGACCCAGATTCATCTATTCTTTGTCGTGTCTCAAATTCTAATCTTTTGAATTCCTCATGACCATTCTTTTTTCTCCTTTTTTAAACTGACTCCTCTGGGATATACTTCTCAAATAAGACCTTCGAAACCTAATCTTTTGGAGTACCGCTAATATTTCTACTTCTACTGTGGGATATGAATTGACAATCGTATCTCTGTACTAATGTGCTATGGCAACTTGAAGTGATGTACTTACATACAAAGTTTTCTGCATTGTAACTGACTGACTGAAAATCAATTAGAATATTACTTGTCTTCCGTAGCCATCAAATATTTGCTTAGTAGTAGTTAACTGTAAAAACATACAATGAATGAATGCTAGCATCAACTTTTTAAAATAGGATTCCATTGATAATGTTTATCTACTCAATAGAACAATTAAAACTGTTTACACATTAGAAATCATCAATCAATCATTGCCAAAGGTCCCAGGTTCGAATCCTGCGAGGAGTAGGAGTCATGGATGCGCACTGCTGATGAGTAGTTCCATACTAGGACGAAACGGCGATTGTCCAGTGCTTCCAGGTTTCTTCTAATGGTAGTCTAACAATGATTGATTGATTGATGATTTCACAAATGTGTGTAAAAACGCAAACCTCCAAAACTGTGCCCCTAAAACTGTTTAATAAATTTCAAAGAAACTGTTTGTTTTTATATTTCATAAAATTTATTCTCAACCATGACTGTTACATCAGTCAGTCAGTCAGATGCAACGTAGAACTTTGTACGTAAAAGTACATCAGTTCATGTTGCCATACCACATCAGCACAGAGATATAATTGTCAATTCAAATCCAATAGTAGTAGTAGAGGTAGTAAGGGAATTAGAAGTAATCGGAGAGGTTAGGATTAGAAGATATTATTCAAGAAGTATGATTCAGTGAGCAAAGTTAAGAAAGTCAAAACTAGAGGGGTTGAAGAATCCAGCACGACTGTTACATAATTTTGTTTCATTTATATTTATGTAAACAAATATATATTTTGTTGTTGTTGTTGTTATTGTTGTGATTGTAGAATATTGCAATTAATAAAAAAATTCAAGAGAAATTCAAGTAAGTCATTGGTAAATTGATCATTTTTTTTGTCATTTTTGTAAAAAAAATTAAAATAAAATATTCTTCATTCAAGTAGTAGTGGTAAAGTAAACACCTTTTTTTTAGGCAATCAAAACGAATGAGAGAAATGAATTTTGAATAATCTGATAAATGAATCATTGGTAGTAGTGTAGTGAATGAGAACACAGGTGGGGCAACCGAATTGTATTTAGCGAAAATTACAGAGTTACTCAGTAAAATCGGAAAACCATATCGTAAATTGTTCATTTGCAAAATATCAGTTCATCCTATCGAACTGGACTGTTCCTGTTGCAAAACATCAATCCACTGTCACTATTCATACGTTTCATACAAATTCCATTGTTTTCTAACTCTTCCTTTCTCTTGATCTTCCCCCATCTTCTGCTTCCAGACATTACGTTGACGCTCACGTCATATACTACTTATAAGTAGTTCGCACCACAGTAGACCATCATTAGAAACCTGAAAGCATTGGATAGACGTTTCGTCATAGATGAGCGCCGCTGATGAGTCCCGTATCAGGATAAAAATGATCTCCATAATACTATAATGCGAAATCGAAAATCTATTTGATGGATTGATTGAAGTGTCATTTTCCCTAGACATATAACTGTAAAACAGTTATTTGAATGACTGTGTTCTTAACTTCTATGCTGCTTGTATTTTTTAGTTCTGTTGTTAAGCTCTATAAAACCACACTTAAATAATGACGAATTTGTAGTTATGTAACCATCCTTAAGTGATCTGAGTCTATGGTTATTTGAGGTTGATTAATAGTGATTTCTTAATGTAGTGTTGTTTGTTCTCATCTGTAAAATCCATTTCTATCGATTAACCATCGATAATAATCGATGGTTAGAGACCTTGAATGACATGGCTCAAAACCGTTTGCAATGGCGCCGGTGCATTTATTCTTTGTGTTCTCTCAAATCCTAATCTTCTGGATTCTTCAACACCTCTAGTTTTGACTCTCTAAATTTTTCTCACACTGAATCATACTTCTTGAATAATATCTTCTAATCCTAACCTCTCCGATTTCTGCTAATACCTTTACTACCTCTTCTACTATTGGATTTAAATTGACAATTACATCTGTGTGCTGATGTGGTATGGCGACATGAACTGATGTACTTACGTACGAAGTTCTACGTTGCATCTGACTGACTGACTTTCTAAAGTGACTATCACAAATACTATACTATATAGAAAACCAGAATAGAGCTACCCGGTTGACTTTGATGTTTTACTTCGTATTTCTGATAACATTTTTATTCACTTCAACAATTTTCCCAAGTAACACTAAATGTTAGCTCTGAACATACTAGCGTATATATCATTGTATCACGCTAACTTTCGGACCGCTTACAAAGGTCATAGCCCTTTTTTTAGTTGAAATTCTTGGACCAGTTCATGGTCAGGAACAACAACTGCTGCAGGTGTAATTTCGATTTAAACAAAAGAAACTCATAGAAGTGATTTCTTTTTGTCACACATATATTACAACGAAGTATGAGTTTTGTCTTTGCGTGTTTTCAAATTTTGCGGACATCATTTCTTGTCCACAGTTTATGGATGTTCCCTTTTTCTATCGTCACTAATCATGAGTTAGTTCTAATAACAGGATTTTCAGACTGTTCGTCACACCGTGTTGGATTTCATGTAAAACAACTACAAATACTTCCTTCCACCTCATATCTAATTTGTTCAATAGCATAGTTTACTTTTGGTCTTTTATTCAAATGTTATTTTACATTGTGATAGCTTTAAGGAAGTCACTACTTGTCTGATTGATGATTTCAACGTATCAAACCACTGATCTCTAATTGAAAAAATCGTACAATGTGCTCACTAGTGACTAGCTTCGTTAAGAAATCCTCGGAGTCCGAGTAAGAAGACGTGACCAGTGGATTTTAACCCTGTCGGGTGTAGGTAAGGAGTAAGTACCGAAAACAAATGGGCGTAAGGTCGCACAAAATCTTTAGATTGATGATCAGAGTTAGATATTGACACCGTTGGATGCCGGTCGAGTGGTCCAGAGGTTAGGCGTTTGCGTGCAAGACCTAAGATCCTGGGTTTCGAATCCTGCGAGATGCATGCGTTGTGTGAATGCGCACTGCTAATGAGTCCCGTACCAGGACGAGACGGCCGTCTTTCAGCGCTTTCAGGTTTCTAATGGTGGTGGTCCAACAATCATTGATTGATTGATGATTTCAACGTGTAAAAACACTGATCTCCCTAATTGAAAAACATAATATGAATCTATTTGTTTTTCTTCATGTCTTCAATGAAATAATGTCTGCATATTTATTCAGCTTTGACATGTGTTACTCATGATGTTTTTTGCCTGGCACTTATCACAAACATGTCTCACCCATGTTGTATGTATATAGGGTTTGTCTACGATATTTCCTGCCTCCTGAATGGCCAATGGAAAAAGATCAAATTCATACCCTGACAGATTCTGATCTTGCTAGTTTTCCTTTAGAAGATTTCTTCGATCGATATGAACAAGGTCTCCGATCTGTAAGTATCATTGCCATGTTTATTTTTTGTTATTAGGCTAACATCGTTTGTTTCGTTTTTTTCTTGAATGGTTTGTACGACTACAAACTTTGGGATGATGTAGCAAATCCACAGCTCAGTCGGATGAGTTTGATAAGGTTCATCGTGGAGCTTCTGGTTGTTCTTCTTATCCACATTATCATTCACATAGACTTCAGATAGGAGAACGCAACTAAATGCGGAACTCCAGCAGAATTTCCCACTTCCCAAAAAACGTGACTGTCTATTAACTTGAGTGGTATAGTCTGCTATCCATACGTTTAGATTGTCCTCCTAGCTGGTTCCTATGACCTCATATACTTTTACTCGTCAACTAGACCAATAGAAAGAAGGTGCGAATTTCGAGTAGATGCTTTACTTCAAAGTTAGATTAGAGAGTATTCAAAGAGTAATGCACGATCTCAGGCTTCTAGATATTTCTAAAAACAGTAAATATGTTAGGAGCATAGGAGCAAATGTCCAATCGAAACCATGATACATGATTCCAGATCTTCTAGGTGCTTCTATTTGACTTTGAATAAAACATCTGGCATTTTTGAGCCTTTAGAGACTTTGAAAAATGAGATTTTGGGACTCCATACCAAATTGAAGTGAACAACATTACATACAGTACAGTGATATCGGGCACCGGTCCATCTTTACTATAAAAATAATTTGTATGAAAAAATCAATAAAATACATTGTGTATCTATTAAATATGGTAGAGTTTCATTCTCTGAGCTGGATACTTTGGTTGTGGAGCTATCATTGTCCTTCTGAACAACATGATCGGCACAAATATCAGGTAAAAGTGAAGTATTCGAATTTCTCCACCTACAACTCGTAGCTTGTTCTGCAAACTATATCAACTTTTTGATGAAGCTCAATAAACGTACAAAATACTTCACTATCGATGAGAAGAACCTCCTTCATGTGTGCTATTGTTTGTGCTCTAATCATGAACGAAGTAGTTGTTCCTGAATTGAATTTGGCCACATCACCTGTATACACGCATCTGATTCAAGTATGAAATAATCAGATGTATAGAACCTGACTGTTTAACAGCAGAAACTGAACTAAGGTTAAGTGAATGGCTGCGTTAAATTCGAAGTAAGGCGCATCAATTCAATAGTCCGTGATCTGACTCTGATATTCACGAAAAAATCTTCCCTCCAATTTCTTGTATACTTAAAAGAACCTCGTTTGTGCGACGACGGTAATTGGAGGCCAAATATGGTTATACGGATGAGTTTATTTCATACAATCGTTCACGCAGAATACAAAGCGCAAAGCGAAGTGAAGTGCACAAGGCAGACGAGCCAAATCAATGTAACGAAACTTGACTAAAGATATGTAGTCGGGAAATAAGAGGCTAGACATGTAAGTAAGCAATGATAGGATATGAGCGAATAATTGACAAGGCTGAAAGATAAGTGAATAGTGAACTAGAATGGTTGACCGGAAGCGAGGACAACTCCATTGGGCTCAACATATTAGCACACGAACTACAAATTGACAAATCCCGAATAAAAACATTTTGTTATCATCACAATTTGCTTAGTTACTACTAAACATAATGGGTAGGGTAGGGTAGAATAGTTATTTCTTTTAATAATTTTTCTAATTCCAAAAATCTCATTTCTTTTATGAACAGCTCTTAGCCACTTTTCAACAAGAAACTAAAATATGCTCTGATCGATTAACCGAGTTACGATTCAATGTTTGTGAACTATTGAAAAAATATGATCCTGTAAGTTTTAATCAGTCTATTAAATTTATGAGAACTAACTGTGTTCGACGCCTAACTAGAGCTTGTGAAGAGTAAAACTAGAAACGAACGTAACCAATGATTGGCGACTTTGAATGCTATAACTCAAAACCGTTTGCAGTGGCTCAAATGCATCCACTCGTTGTGTTCTCTCAAATTGTAATCTTCTGAATTCCTCATCACCTTTATCTTTCTCTTTTTAAATTTATTTCGCTGAGTTGGACTTCTTGAATAGTATCTTTAAACCCTAATCTTTTCTATCACCGCTAACACTTCCACAAGCTCTATCATTATGGGATTTGAATTGACAATTCGATCGCTCTGTGTGCTAATGTTGGAGTATAGCAACGTGAACTGATGCATTTACGTACGAGGTCCTACGTTGTAGCTGACTGACTAAATGGCGGAGAAGTAACTGTAAATAATGTCTACTCATTTATAACTTGCTAGTCCTTATACAAATTCAGTTATTAATATTATTTCGTGCACGTGTTCAACACGTGTAGTTGTTTTCTTATGTTGTGTATAAAAACAAGCTGAATGCAAGGAAATTGTTTTGTGAAATTTTGATTAGTAGTACTATTTTCAATTGATAAAAATCATAAATTGTTGATTGTCAAGTAAATTATGAAACTCATGATTTGATTCATCAAATAAGTTGCAAGATTAAGCTCATACAATCGATAAAATATGCTTCTACTTCATCAGTAACTTTAATTCCCTACTCTCTAGGTGTGAGAATAAGGAACATTCATAGATTATTAGTATTCGATCATAAGCGTATTCGAAGCATTGTCCATATATCCTGGTGTAGTGAAGGAGAACACAGGTGGGGGCAACCGGATTGTATTTAACGAGAATTACAGAGTTACTCAGTAAAATTGGAAAATCATATCGTAAATCGTTCATTTGCAAAATATCAGTCCATCATATCGAACTGGACTGTTCCTGTTGCAAAACATCAATCCATTGTCACTATTCATGAGTTTCTTACAAATTCCATTGTGTTCTAACTCTTCCTTTCTTGATCTTGCCCCATCGTCTGCTGCCAGACATCACGTTGACACTCACGTCATATACTACGTATAAGTAGCTCACACCGCACTGGGACCATTGAGTAAGCAATGCTACTGTTAGGGAAAAGGTTATTAGGTAAGGATGGCCGATCAATGGATATAGTGAAACTTCCTTGATCAAAGTGGTTGAGACATGTGTTGCGAATGCTCAACCACTGACTGCCTCGACGAGTGGTGTTTGTGAAGCAGGTATGGGCTGGAAGAAAGTTATAGTCGGCCAAAACAAAACATGACACAAATCCATGAAGTAACTGACTAGTGGACTGAATCATGTTGGTAAGTGTAGACTACCTAGTTGGGGTCCGTGAGACAAAAGTAACCGATGAGTAAAGACTTGAAGTGACATGACTCAGTCATAAGCAATGGCGCAGGTGTATCTACTCGTTGTGTTCCCCGAAATTCTGTATTCTTCATCATCTCTATCTCTCGCTTTCTAAACTTATCATACTGAATTATACTTCTTGAGTAATCTCTTGGAACCCTAATCTTCTCCATTGTTACGCATTAATGTAAACACGTCAACTTGATATACTTGAACTATTATTACGAGTTTACCTTAGTCGGAAAACGAGAGCGAGGATCCGGCGGCACGACATGCTACTCAATCCGATTATCCCAACCCCGCATCGCATAAAAGAAGGCTTGATTATGAAGTAGAACATGTATTCTACAAGCATCCAGAGAGTACGAGGTCCATGTCCAGAAAAGAATCAGGATCCCGGACTAGGGATCTGGGTCCAGGTCCGGGTCATAAAACGTTACAGATAATGCATACTCATACATTTAGGTCGAATAGGAGACAGCATCGAAGTCTGTAAAATTTACAGTTAAGACGACCAATTTGAAGTGACATTGATATTCAGGACAACCAATAAGAAACAACATTGTAGCACGTGACATTGATTTGTATGATGACCATAAAATTGACCAGTAGGAATTAACCAATAGGAGTTGACCAATAATTCTCTTAGGATATTGGATGAATATCCTAATATCCATAACCTCTGATACTTCAACTATTTCTTCCTCATTATATGATTTGAACTGACAGTTGCATCTCTGTGCTAATATCATACATATGTCAACCTGAACTTATGTACGTACGTACGAAGTTCTATCTTGTAATTGACTAATTTGTAATATTGCTTATTAGGTTATTATTTTAAAACTAGTTTTTCACAAATCTTGCTTGATTGAATTAACAACACCACTGACTTATCAGTTTCACTTTTTTCATTATAGAATTTCACTGAACCATTAAGTGATGTTGAAGAAGTTGACAATTATATTAGAAATTTTCTTAATAAAAACTAATTGCTGTTTGTATTGTTGAATGAAGGCAGCCAGATGTGTTTTTTTTCTTCCTGTTGTCAATTTAGATTTTATTTATTGTATACTACTTGTTCTCTTATTTCTTTTTCTTTCTCTTAATGATGTCATTCTCAATCACTTTTATTGGAAAAATAAATTCTCACTTTTTATCCATTCAATTTCTCCACCGCCCTCGCCCCCGACCCCACCTCCATCACAAAATTTTGTAATTTTTTTTGCTCCCAAATGCTTTTACTCATTACTTTCTCTCTCTCTCTCTCTCTCACTGTCTCTCTCCGTCTAAATAAATATGTATGTACGTATTATTGATTGGAGAGAGTGTATATGCACAGCTGTTGTTCAATAAATACATATATTATAATTTATATAGATATATATATGCATAAAGATGTGTATAACTTTTTAACTTAAAATGTATTTGTATCATTCTGATTTTGTTGAAGAATCTCTCTATTCGGTCAATTTAGTTTTTTGTGGATATTCTTATTATTACTATTATTATCATTATTATTATTATTATTATTATTATATATTGTCCTTGAGAAGTAGTAGTACTCTATTTCATTTCATGTTATAATAATTATTCAAAGAGAACTCACATACATGCATACACATACACACTTACCTGTTCACATTTTCACTTTGTGTATATTGTCTGTAGTAATCGTGATCAACTGTCATGAAACACATACAACACACACACACTGTTTTTTCTTCCGGTCTCATTGTCTTTGTAATTATTTCTCTCTCTTGCTCGCTCTCTCTCTCATTCTCATCTAATTCATTCCTTGTCATCAATGTATCTTCAATTTACATTATGTGTCACTCAGTAAAATGTTGGAATGGTCTCATGACGAAGATGAGCGCATAGAAGAAGAAAAAGCATCGATCATGGTTATTGCATAACTAACTCTCTCATTCATCTATTGTTTATTACATTTTCACCATTGACATTAATAAAATAAATTCAACTTTTGGCTATCAATAGAGAGATGATATTAGTACACAATAAAATTGAATAATAATCTGCCACTAGCTTTATTGCGCTGTACAGTCATTTATCATTTTGTGTGTGTTTGTGTTTACTATCCATTTTCCTGTGTTCATTTCATCCATCTGTAATTGTTTTTTGCAAACTTTAAGAAAAAATCTGTAAGAGTTATCCAACAGTATAGTCTTTTTTGTCTGTTATACACAACTAATGTTTGGCATGCAAATAAATTTCGTATGTTATTACTTCTTATAGTGTTAATGATCACCGTATATACTGCCGTGTTCGTTTCAAGTTCTTAAAGTGCTTACGTATGATTGTGAAGAAAAAGGGATCCAGGCATTGAAATCGTTGACTGAGTGAGGTTGTCCTCCTGTTTAGGTGCATGACCGTGGCTGTGCTACCCTGACGTGCTAGTCGGGCTTGTCTATCGTGATGACCCAACCGAGCTATACTGGCTGGGACATATGTTTCTGAAGGTTATGCCAAGCCAGACAGGTCGATTAGAGAACGGTGAGACTAAAAACAGCAACCAAAGACCTGAGGGCGAAGACATCCTGCCGACCGTAGAGGCGTGCGACAGCACTAAGGCATTTCCGTTGGACAACCAGCATCTGCAGTGATATTGCCTTCTCACAAGGAAAGAAGGGTTAGAAGTTCGACCCTAAAAAGTCACACTTCGTATTACCTCACGGATTCCCGCCGTTTGAAGAGCGGCGTGACCGGCCACAAACGGTTGTCTCTTTGGCTCTGCGGTCACGCTCCCAGGTCGTTCAGACCAACCCTAACCCGATTTCCATCTCAGGTTCCTTAAAAAACACCCACCGTGTAGGCAGCTGGAAAGTGAAAATCGCCCTCATACCCGTAACAGCTCACGAGACTGTTTTGGTCACAAACAGATCCTCCCTACACCTCCGAACATCTGTCCTATCTCCACGACCAACCTCCCATTCCGTTCCTTTCTCGCGCCGAAGTTCCCTTAGACTGAATCCCAGTAGATAGTCGCCGTCCAACTAGACAGGACGGTAGGAACTCGTAGAGATAGGGAAACTCGCCGTCACCTATGCTCTCACTGACGAGTTAAAAGATGAATCTTACAGAAACCTAACGGACCTCCTTCAAAAAGTTAAGCCTTATGACATAGTAATAATGGCTATTGTCTTTAGTGCTCAAGTAGGTAGACTAAGCGAAAGAGAAAGACAGCTGAGTGGATCTTATGGTGTCGTGTCTCAAAGATCAGATAATGGTGATGGTCTGCTGCAGCTACGCTCAGATGATCACCTATTTCTAGCAAATACTAACTTCAGGTATGAGGAAGAACACCTTTTGGCATGAGGATCCCCAACTAGACCGCACTGCCATCAGTCAGTGGTGGACTCTCCATTGAAAACTGCTGCACATTCTGTGGCACTTATCTGATTCAGATCATCTCTAGTATGGGCCCGTATTTGTCTGCCTTTTACTGGACATAGGAAAGACGGCACAAAGAAACCTCAGGGTTCTAGTAAATGATGGCAAAGCCAAGAATACACTTCAGGAACAACTAGAAAAACAGTTAATCAGTGAGTGATGCCCATCCTGAGGCAGCTTGGAACGACATCCTCAAAACCATGGAAACAAAAGTGACATCTGCTTGTCAGGTCAAGCATAAGGTTAGTGAGAACCTGTGGATGGCAGGAGCATCTACCGAAACGATAGATGCTCGGAAACTCATCCTGTCTGGCTATGAACATGACTATGAGCGGAGGCTGATAAGAAGCCTATGCGATGATTGCGAACAGTAGTGGGTGGCGAAAGCGAGAGATGAAAAAAGCAGCGGTAATAGGTAGCAGTAATGATTCACTAAGACTTCAAAGAAACTGGTGTTAAGAACCCGACTCTGAGACTTTCGGAAAAGGATGGGCTTATCATCCATTCACAATCCGACGGGCAGAACACTTTAGGAATCAGTCCAACGGGCCTTCAGCCACACTTCGGTTGCCTACGATCTACAGCCAACCTGAATGGCGAATCGATCCAAGTCCTCTTGTGGTGGCCAAATTCTGCATGTTCTTAGTCTTCGTAATTAGCTCGTCCAGACTATCGTTACTAAATGGCGTCTGAGGGTTATAAATCCGAACGTAAACTCGAAGTGTTGAATAGGTTTATTTTGGCACACCAAAAATAGGGATAGCAGACCGGGCAGGCGCACTAGCGAGTGGATGGGCGAATGTGCGAGTCAATTAATAAGATTAAAATGTTTGTATATACATAGGGAAATGTCCAAGTCATCGTGATATTTAAGAGATCAATACTAAAGCGAATAGGATGCATATGCGCGTAGGCGGTAAGCAATGCTCAGTCATACCAGCTCATAAAAACCACACAATAAGTAAAGGACAATGGTACATATAAGTCATTGTTCTACGAATGGCTTGGTTAAATAAATTCATCGAAAGGGCCTAACCAAATGAAATGTAAGCGAACTTGAATATACGTGGAGGCACTACACTCTTACTCTTCATCAAGTTGAGGAAGCTACAGGAAATCTAAAGCGGAGGTATTGTAACGCTTGCTTAAATGATTCCCAGCTACATCCTATTGCTTAGTATTCTCTGACCACAATACACTGGACAAGTTCCAAAGAATCAAAAACATGGTTGAACAGGAAAAGATTATATTCCAAATAGCAAGGTTAAATGGAAATAAGAAGCTGAAAGCGAAGGCAAAAATAGATACAACGTTAGTCTATTTATAGCATTTACATGAGAAGCTTCTGGATAGAAATTCAAGTGATCGACTGGATCAGATTTAGCCAATCAGCATGCAGCTAACAGTACGAGAAATTTCCGCCCTGTTCTCCAAGAATCGATCAGGCGCTGATGGGACGGGAAATTAGCCAATCAGCGCGCAGCTGACGCAGTCATGCTTTATTTCCATCTATGTCCCACTAACAGGAGGAGACCCGCGGGTCCTGATAGGCCTACCTCTGAGATCTTTAAGGATGGTGGTCCAAGTTTAGCAGTAAGAGTAACTGAAATCTTGGGTAGAATTTAGGAACTAGACGTAATCTCATCGGCTTAGTCTCAATCACTGATTGTACCAATTTACTAGAAAGGACGGAATTCCTCTTTTGACAATCACAGGGGAATCAGTCTAACTAATACAGTTTCTAAATTGTTAGCCTCGATTATACTTAGATGTCTAACTATAGCTCGTGAAGTACAGACTCAAGAAAACCAGGCTGCTTTCCGACCAGAACGTGGTTGTATAAACCACATCTTCACACTACAACAGGTCCTGGAATACAGACACATTCAGGCGTCCGACAACAGTTGTTTTCCTGGACCTTATGGCGGAATTTCACCCAGTGGATCGTGAGGTTCTTTGGCAGTGTCTATCATTGAAAGGTGTACCAAAGGATTACATTAACCTTATACAAGCTCTCTACTCGACCACCACTGGTCGAGTGAGAGCTCATAGTGAACTGTCATCGGGATTCTTTACTTCAAGTGGTGTCCTTCAGGGCTGTCTACTCTCTCTATTCTTTTTTAATTTTGTCATAGGCATGCTCCTAGATACAAACTTTATCCTCGTCCGACTTTTCAGGAGTCGACTTTCTACCAGGAAAATCGCTCGAAACAAACATGAGAAGAATGAACAAAGATTGGACAGAACCGTAAAAGACGTCCCCTGACAGAGTAGGTTGCAGAATACTGGTCAGCAACCTATGTGCTCCACTGTGGTTAACAGACGTAAGTAAGTAAGTTTATCCATCCACTATTTGTCTGTAAACAAATAATTATTCATTTTTTCAATTAGATTTATGGAGATCAGTGTTTTTACATATTTGAAATCATCAATCAATCAATGTTAGACCATCATTAGAAACCTGGAAGCACTGGACGGCCGTTTCGTCCTGGTATGTGACGTGACCAGTGAAATTCAACCCTGTCGGGTGTAGGCAGCAACTACCAAAAACAAATGGGTGAGGTCGCTCAAAATCCCTAGATCAATCAGAGTTAGACATTAACACCATAGGATGTCAACCCAGTGGCCCAATGGTTAGATGCTCGCGCACAATTATTCAATTTATCAATCATGCTATAAATCATGTTAGCACTAAAACAAGAACCCAAAATGATCTATTATTCTACTGAGATTAAGGCAGCTTTTTTTTCAAGAGAAAAAAAGAAAACACAACATTGAACTTCACAAAAATTTTTAAAAAAAAAACTATCCAATGAGAAATTAAATGTTAAAAAATTTTTATTAGATATACTACACATTATTGAATAATAATAATAAAATGGCATTAATTTATGATGAAAATTGTAATAGTAATAGTAATAATATTACTATTACTACTGAGCATAATGACAATAACAATAACAATGATAATAATAATAATAATAATAATAATAATAATTTCATCATAACCATATTCAATAAAATCTTCATCAATAGCATATAAATCGATTAGAAAATAGTTTGCATTTCTCTGCTGTTGTTGTTGTTGGTGTTGATATTATCATAATGAATTCGATGTAGTGAATTGTATTGGTTCTAATAGACCAGCTTCAATTAAAGGACATGTTAATGGTGCACTACTACTACTACCACTAATATTGCTACTACTACTATTACCATTATTATTGATACTACCACTTTGATTATGATTTGTTAATAATAATTTTGGACAATATCTTATTGTATGAGCACGATCTTTAGTTGCACCACATACTGGACAAGTGAATTTACGTAGAATTGGACATGTTACACGACCAAAACGATCTTTCACCTGAATTTTTTGAAAGGAAACAATGAATTTCTATTAATATACTTATATATATATATATAAATATATATATATTACATTTTTTGAAACTATGAATCGATCAATGTTAAGGCGTTCGCGCACAATACCGAAGGTCCTGGGTTTGAATCCTGTGGGGTGCAGGAGTCGTGGATGCGCACTGCTGATGAGTCCCATACCAGGACGAAACGGCCGTCCAGTGCTTCCAGGTTACTAATGGTGGTCTAACATTGATCGATTCATGGTTTCAAAAATGTGTAACTTAACAATCTTCACAACCCCGTAATATATATATATATATATATATATATATATATATAATATTTGTGGAAGCGAATGAATACAAATCTGACCTGTATAGAAGAGGAATAAACGATTAAAATATCTTATAATTTTCATAATTCAAATCGTGAACTGTTCTTAATTAGACCATCATTAGAAACGTGGACGCACTATACGACTGTTTATTCCTAGTATGGGACTCTTGGGCAGTGCTCATTCAAGACGTCTGCACATGAACATCGAAGCCAGTATATTGTGGTGGTGTTTCGTTCTCTGAGCTGGTTGTTTTGGTTGTGGAGCTTTCATTGTTCTTCTGCTGAACAACATCATCAGCACAAACTTCAGATAGAAGAAGTGAAGCATTCGAATTTCTCCACGTTTGACCTGTAGCTTGTTCTGTTAACCTCGATCTTGATTGGTTGCTGTCGACTTTTGACCTGTCGTTGTTTGCAACTTTGTTTTGATTGCACCCCCCTTTTGATCTGTTTCTTGATCCTGTGTCACCTATGATTTTTCTGATTGGTTGATAAATTGAGTCAATGTGCTGATGATGTTGTTCAGAAGAACAATGAAAGCTCCACAACCAAAACAACCAGCTCAGAGAACGAAACACCACCACAATCATCTACCTGAGCTACAAGTTTTCTCCACCATCTCAAAATCCAGTATATTTCCGGTCTCACGCGAGAACGCTTAACCTCTTTAGCATCCAAGTGGGCATCCATTAGTGTTTTCATACTTAACTTTACAATCGATCCATGATCTTGAGCAGCTTCCATCTATTACTTATAATGAATGAGATGATCAGCCACTAACTACTTCAACGTTTCTGATGGTGATCTAGCTAAGATCAGTTCATGATTTCAACTATACAGATAACACAATCTCCACAAATCTCCTTCAATTCATAAAAACCCAATCCAGTTATTAGTCAGATCAAACAGGTCAAAAGTAATATGAACCTTTATTTACATTCCAAATGTATCGACAATGTGATAAAATGTTCCAATGGACATACATTCGATTGGAACATTGTGGAAATACTGGATAGGGGGAGGACAAAGAACACTAGAGAATTTTTAGAAACTTGGCACTCAGGTCAGTCAACAATCAACAAACAGATCGACATTGACCCGATTTATCAACCTATCAGGAAAATCATAGGTGACATAGGATCAAGAAACAGATCAAAACGGGGATACAATCAAAACAAAGGTACAAACAACGACAGGTTTAAGGTCAACAACAACCAATCAAGACCGAGGTTAACAGAACAAGCTACAGGTCAAACGTGGAGAAATTCGAATACTTCACTTCTATCTGCAGTTTGTGCAGATGTTCAGAAGAACAATGAAACTTCACATCCAACTCAGAGAACGAAACACCAGCACTACCATCCACCTGAGCCACAAATTTTCTCCATCATCACGATTGGCAAGCCCGATCACCACGTCAATGTAGCAACTGTGGTCGGGAATTGAATATTCTACTTACTAGAATAATTATAAATATGTTATTTTATCACCCAATTCTCAATCCATTTATACTTTAGTCATGATATTTAATAGCCCATGTCTAATTCCGAAATTATGTTTAAACACTAACAACCGTGATTCCATTTAATCTTGGTAGTCAGTTTCTATTTATCTATCTAGTATAAAACGAATTTTTTATGTATGATACTGGTGTATAGTAATTTTCTGCTTTATGATAAAAAATCTTGCACACTCAGTATTGGTTATTACTGAAAAAGCTGACGACGATTTATAATTCAAAATCTAACCTTTGTTTTGAACAATGGAAATAGTATGTTTGTACTATCATAAATGATGATATCGAAGAAGAGATTTAATAACCGATATACTTTGAATTTCATAAAAGTTTCCATTATTTCACAATTCATATCATTTGTTAAACAGATTATAATATTTGCTAGTTTCTTTTTACAAATTCGATTATCTTATACAAAATGGTAATCACAACGAACTCTCTGTTAAGAATCATAAGACAGAATTACCACTATTTTGTATCTGTTAGGATATTCATCCAATATCCTAAGAGAATTATTGGTCAAATCCTATTGGTCGATTTCTATTGGTCAAAATTATGATCGTTATAACTGTCAAAGTCAAATACTTCAATGTTGTTTCTTATTGGTTGTCATGACTATCAATGTCACTTCAATGTCACTATCAATGTTACTTCCTATTGGTCGTCTTAACTGTCAATGTCACAGAATTCGATGCTGTTTCCTATTCCACCAAAATGTATAAATACGCATTATCTGGAACGTTTTATGACCACGATCAGGACCAAGGCTCGGTCCCGGATCCCTAGTCCGGGATCTCGATTCTCTTCTGGATTCGGACCTGGTACTTTCTGGATACTTGTAGAATACTCGTTCTACTTCATATCATGTCTTCTTATTTTTTACTAAATATGGGGATAATCGGATTTGAGTAACATGTCGTGTCACTGGATCCTCGCTCTCGTTTCCGACTAGGTAAACTCGTAATAGTTCAAGTATATCAAGTTGACGTGTTTACGTGCAGGCGTAACAGTATCTGTCGAGTATAAAAACTTCGTTGAAATTATCAATCGATCATCGTTAAACCACCATTAGAAACGGAGAAGCACTGGACGGCAATTTCGTTCTAGTATTGAACGTTCACAAGCGTGACCGAAGGTTCTTGGTTCAATTTCCTTGAGCGGGAGTCATAGATGCACACTGCTGATAAGTCCTATACTGAGAGGAAACCTATCGTCCAGTGCTTCCAGGTTTCTAATGGCAGTTGTTTATGAAAGGCGAATTCACTGAAAAATGAGTGAAATAGAAAGAATTCAATATTTTCAAAAGTAAATTTTCCATCGGTTCCCGTATTGTGCTGACTCAGTCATTCAGCTACAACGTTGAACTTCGTACGCACGTACATCAATTCAAGTTGCCAGACCAGATTAGCACACGAATATCAAATTGTCGACTCGAATCCCATAGTAGTAGAGATAATAGAAGTATGAGCAGATAGCGAAAAGAAGTGATCGAAGATATCATTCGAGAAGTATATTCCATAGGAAAAAATTTTCAAAACTGCAGAGAGAGGAAAAAAGAGCGATCACGAGGAATGCAGAAGATTAGAATTTGAGACAAGACAAGAAATGGATGCACCGTCTCCGCTGCAAACGATTTTGAACCATGTCATTCAAGGTCTCTAATCACCGGCTTCAATCGTCTCGCGGGGCCAACCAGGTAGTCTACACTTACCAACATGGCTCAGTCCATTTGTCAGTGACTTCATCGGTTTTTGCCACGTATTGTTTTCGCTGTCTCTTTCAGTGTGCCGCTACACCAGACATAATTGCTCGCCAAGGCAGTCGGTGACTGGTTATATGAATTACATGTCCTAACCATCTGAAGTCATGAACACTTGCTACTTCATTAAATGATTTGCCATCCTTACATAGTACCCGTTTCCTAACAAGAGCTTTGTTTATTCGATGGTCACAGCATATACGAACAATGCCTCTAAGACATCTATGAATGAATACTAATACCCTAGGAATACCCGCTGCTCTAACTGCCCGAGTCGCAAACCCAGAGAGTAGGACGGAGCAAATTGCTGCGCAGCATACTCGTCCTTCGATTAGAAGATGGATATCTCGCCTATGTCATTAGTGACGCAGGTTGGCAAAAGTCAATCGTGCTCTTAATATCCGTGCTGAGATTTCGTTAGTCACTAGGCCATCAGCACTGATGAGACTCCCGAAATAAGTGAAGCAGTCAACACGCTCAACTGCTTCACTCCCAATCATCACTAGTTCAGGTGCTGACATATACAAATTCTGAAGCAACATTTTACATTTCAAAGGGAAGAATCGCATCCCGAACATTTTTGAGTTGTTGCTTGGGGTGGTCGGAAGACTCCGAATTTCATCAGCGTCTTCACTGAGCAGAACTATGTCAAAGGCATATACTAAGTCATCCAATGAATCTCCTGGTAGGAGGTCCAACCCTGAAAATTCAGATAGTGTCTTATCCAACAGCCTGTTAATGACAAATTTGAATAAGAACAGAGAGTAGAAATCCCTGACGGACACCATTTGAAGAAAAGAATTCCGATGACAGTTCGCCATAAGCGCTCACTCGACCAGGGGTGTTCGAGTAGAGCTTGTATGAAGTTAATGTACTTCTTTGGTACACCTTTCAATGAGACACTGCCACAGAACATCACGATCCACTGAGTCAAATACCGTCTTAAAATCCAGGAAGATAACTATTGTCGGACGCCTAAATGTATGTCTGTGTTCCAGGACGTGTCTTAAAATGGACATGTGGTCTATACATCCACGTCTAGGTCTGAAACAAGCCTGGTTTTCTCTAGTCTGCATTTCACGAGCTATAGTTAGGTGTCAAAGCATAATTGAGGCTAACAATTTAGAAACTATGTTGAATTATTTTTTCTGGTTAGCGTTTTCTTGGCAAGTTAGTTCTTGACAGGATGGGGTCGCCAACCCCATCTCGAAACCCTCCTCCTTTATCCGGGCTTGGGACCGGCAGTAACCCCGAAAGTTCTACTGGTGGAGTTAGTTAGACTAATTCCTCTGTGACTGTCACAAGAAGACCTTTGTCCTTTTTTATAAATTGAGACAATCTGCGATTGAGACCAGTCGGATGGGATAACGTCCAGTTCCCAGATTTTACCTAAGATCTCAGACAATGTAACTGTTTAAACTCGGACACCATCCTTAAAAATCTCAGGGGTCTGTGTCATGACCCGCTGCCCTTCCTCACATCAGATTGCCAATGGATTTCATAAAGAGTCGAAGGACTTACGTCGATTCGCCATTCATGTTGACTGGAGATCGTGGGCAACCGAAGTGTGGCTGAAGGCCAGTTGAACTGATCCCTGAAGTGTTCTGCCCATCGATTTAATCCCCTTGATTGAGAATGGATAATAAGACCATCCTTTTCCGAGATAGTCTCACTCACATTCGGGTTCCTAATAACGGTTTCCCTGATAAGTCTGGATAGTTGCCTACTGTTGCCCATCGCCGTTACCTTTTCCTTCTCCCTTGCTTTCGCTACCCACCACTGTTCTCGATCATCGCGAAGGCTTTTTATCAGAATACACCTGATTTGACTCCGCTCATCAACGTGCTCAGAGCCAAGAGGGATGCACTTTTGAGCACCTATCAGTTCCGTAGATGCTACTGAAATCCACGGTTTCTCCCTAACCTTAATAGGAGATGTCACTGTTTTTTCTACAGCCTTTTGGATATCATTCCAAGATGCCTCAGGGTGGGCATCACTTACTACATGGCTGCCTAACTGTTTTTCTAGTTGTTCCTGGAATATACTCATAGCTTTTTTATCATTAAGTAGAACCTTAAGAGGTTTCCTTGCGGTGTCTTTCGTACGTCCAGTAAGTCGCAAACAAATACGCGCTCGCACTAAGGCATGGTCTGAGTCCAGATAAGTGCCACAGAATGAGCGGCAGTCTTTAATAGAATCTCTCCGCCGATGGAATACAGTGATGCGGTCTAGTTCGATCCATCTTTGGGTCGGCTGTGGTGGTCGCTAGGTCAAAAAGTGTCTTTATTTATGCTCAAAGTCAGTGTTTGCTAAAAATAGGTGGTTACCTGAGCATAATGCAGCCGATGGCCACTGTTATATGTTCGATTAGCCGCGACACCATAAGACCCACCCAGGTGTCATTCCCTTTCGCACCGTTCACCTACCTGAGCGCTGGAGTTACCAGCCATTATTATCAGAGTGCCCAACATTTTTAAGGATGTCTGACAGGTTTGTAAAACTAATCTTTTATCTCATCTGAACTGCAGTCAGTGGGAGCGTAGGCAGAGACAACAGAGAAGCAACAGCCAATTTCCCTATCTTTACGAGCCCTTACTGTCCCGTTTAGTCGGACAGCGCATAAGCAACTATCTACCGGGATCGATTCTAAGAGAGCTAGTTCTGTTCGACGACTTGATACTATATCTACGCCAGTAAGGCAACGGGAAGCAGCATCAGGGCTTCCAGATACATGTTATTTCTCTATCTGCACACATCAAATTGTTGATTTTACTCGAATCTTTTATGCGCGTTTTGGAGACGCAGCATACGTTGATTGCGTGAGATCATAAAGTCCTAGCATGAAGCCTATTGCCCTATTTGACACAATTTCCGTACATTAAATGCTCCAACTTGTAAGTTAGAATGACGTTTCGTGAACTCGCATCGTTTGGATTGGCGGTGCAGTGTGATAAATGAATGTGAGAAGAGTTAGTCGTGGAGATAAGAGAGATATTAGGGGGTGTAGGAAGAAATTGTCTGTGACTAATTTGGTCTCGTGTGCTGTTACAGGTATTACGGTGGCAGCCCACGCCATGGGTATTTCCTGATAAACCTGAAAAGGTTAGAATATTTAGATGATTCCAGTGAGAAAAAAACATAATAGTTCAAGTAATAGATCAATAATAGAATCTATACACTGTATATTTTCTTGTAAAAATAAAATATTAAGAAAAATTTCTACTCACTTTATGACTAGTATAAATTTCTTTCGGTTCATTATTATTACGACAAAATACGCATAAATCTACATTGGCTTCTAATAATCTTTGAGTTGAAATAGCCATATTTTGTAGAAATTTTGCTAAATCTAATAAATGATTTTCATCTAATGTTTGATTTGATGTTAAACATGTATAAATCCTAAATAGTTAAAGAGAATAATTTATTTTGTTAGTTATTCAGTCATGAAATCTAATTTTTAACAATATTCATAAATAACTAACTATAGATAAGGCTATCATAAACACAATACTTTGTTCACACCATTATTTTTGATAAACTGAATATAACAGGTCATAAGTTTTATGGTCAAGACGGTGAACTGAATCTAGCTGGCAGGAAATCGTCAAATGTTACGTCCCATTATGAGATAACCCAGCACTGAACACCAATGAGTTCTGAGAGAATCGAAACCAGGCCGTTCAGGACTCATACAGTGAGTTTGATGTACATAGAATTGATAACCCCAGTTGTATTCAAACTGTAATTATCCACTGTGATTTATAGACTTTATCACTAAGTTGTTTGAGTGATATTTCTGTTAGGTTTCGAATCCAAAACTTAGAGTACTAGGATAAAATTTATCCAACTCTTCCTAGTTCTCAGTGAGTATTTAGTTTAAAAGAGTCTGTGAATAATCTTTACTGGGAACGCATGTTTGCAAAAACTGTGGAAACCAGTCACTAACTAAACTGTTCGAATTTCACAAGAAACCAACTGAATAAAACAATATGTGGATAATCACTGACAACAGCTGATTTAAAGATTTCTCCAGATTTTTCTAAGAACTCATCATCTAAGTAGAAAGAAAATCTATGGGAATCGAGTTATTCCGTATACTGAAGGAAGATGGAGAGTGTAATTAACTACCGGGTTCTGATATGATAGATTTTCTATGGTATCTTGAAGGTTAACCAGTTTGTTCTCATGTAGAAATGGTGTTTTGATAAGAAGATTGAAGCCCGAATGAAATAGCTGATCAATGAATCTTGACTGTTAGAAGATTTCCAGCTGATATGAATTCTTTCCATCATCTGGCCAGAACTAGATGATTGAGCTGACTACTTATTCAATATTGAAAACTCAAACTTGACAAAATGAACAACTTAAGAGTAATTAATAATAATCGTCACAGTATTAGGATAGATAATTTTTAATATTCTGCTTTAATTACAAAGTAATGAGTTCAAGAAATGTATGAACTCTTGATTAAACTTATACTGCAGGTAACTTTTTTTTTGAAAAGCTACTATAGTAATGTATAGCTCTCAACTTGAGAAAAAATCTTGACTAAAAATCGACATTTGAACATATTATCTACAAAGAGCAGACACGATTGGTGCATTTCAACCCGTTAGTACAATATCATCAAATCAATCAACTGATCGTCAGATTTAATTCAATTTGTTATGGTTTCGATTATCTCATTGTTGAATTAAATCTCGTACGTGTTACGCAAGTGTGTAGCTATTTGGACTTAATAGCCAAGTAGACAAGACGATAGTGTTTGAAGTAAATTGTACTAGATTTAAGTCCCGGATTGGCAGGTACATTCAACCAATGATGACTCCCGAATAGGACGAAACATGAGCCAGCCACATTCAATTTCAATGTTCAGAGTTGTACTACTGATTTAGTAGTAAGTAGTAAACATAAAATACAATTTGTAACTGTTTCATGCTCTCAATCATTAATGACAAAATTCCTAGCTAAGCAAAATCCTCTCAAATTTTACAAGTTAACCCGTTTTGCTTTGCTTAAATATACAAATCATAGTAAATCAATTATACAGATTACTGACAAAATCTTGATAACTGTTGGTTTAATTAAATCATATAATTAAATTTAGTTTGAATAACTCAGTGAACTCAATAAACTAATTTAATGACATCGTATTACATAACAATCAAAACTGTTATACATAGCTACACAATGAATTGTTCTTATTACTACAATATGTACTAATTGTAACGTGGCCTATAAGTCAGTCAGTCACTTACAACGTAGAACTACGCACGTACATCAGTTCAGGGTCGACCTTTTCTAACCCCTTTGTTATAATTCTCTCTTCATTACAACCCAGCTATTTCTAATGCTCAGTATTCTCGGACATCAATTCACTCGAAACGTTCTCCCAAATCAAAACACTGTTGAACAGGAAATAGATTATATTCCAATAGCAAGTTTAGAATGGAAGACAGAAAGTAAGAATGAAAAAGAAGTTAGTCTATTTTTAGTTTTCTTACATGAGAAGATTCTAGAATGTTCCCTCAGTATCGGCTAGCGCTGATTGGATACGAAAGGGCCAATGCTGTAATCCAATCTGTGCCCCACTAAAACCTCCCCTTTGAGTAGATTCACAGGATCTGGAGCTAGGGTCCAACTGCAACCATGTGACTGGCCTGTGCTTTCGATTCGTCTATCTTCTAGGCAATAAGGAAGATGGGTAACTCTTTGCTTGCACAGAAACTGATCTGTCTGTTCCAGGCGTTTTGATTTCAAAGGTGTCTAGCAGAACGTCAATAGGTATTCGATATTGAGTCTCGTTGCTGGCTATCGAAGTTGCTTTCAGTTGGTTAGCAAGATGTACCGACACTTTTGAGCCGATTGACACCTCATAAATCACACTCCCTTTCTTTTTCAAGTTCCGACCAGCTGTCCATGTAGGAGGTTTTCTACGATAGTCCATAGCAAGTACTTTTCCAGCCACCGTGAACAATCGTATCTGTGTCCCATAATGTCGACTGAAATACTTCTCCATCGATAGGTTTCTTTGAGTCTCAGAGGCTATCTTAGGATGGATGTGTTCGTATTTTCCTGCTAAGTAGAGCTTCTGCTGGGGAAACTCCTTTAATCGTCCGACAGTTCGGTGAATCATCGTCATTGTTTAGTATTCGATATCAATATCTAAACCTGATGAAATGCGAAGCCGATGAATATGCGGACATCGTCAACAGGGAATGTGAACGGTTCAAGTTGCGCTCATTGACAGGAGACCAATTTAAATGCTCAATATTCATCGAAGCTCTTCAGTCTCTACAAGTCGCTGAGATCAGGACTAGACTTTTGACTCGAAAGGGTCAAATCCCGAACGTCACACTCAGAACATTGACAGATGGGTGTAAGCAGCTACAAAGTACCAGACACGACAGTGAGTTGATTGAACAGACAAGTTCCATTTTAACCGACAGTGGCGTCAATGTTGTTACTAGATTAAAAGTTCAGAAGCCGATAACATCTCGAAACAAACCTTCGAATGCATGTTCGTTATGTGGAGATTGGCATTATGTCCGATTCTGAGCATTTAAGAAACATAGACGTGCAACGAACGTGGACATAAAGGCCATTGTCTATCAAGTCGTACGTCTCAGCCGAGGAAGAAGCATAAACGTACTCGACATGTGGTGAAATTAGCCGAGTTTAATTCTTTCTCTGGAAGCTGCTTTTCAAGCAGACTATGACATTCAGAGAAAGTATGTTACTATCCAGACCACAGAGCCCAAGGGAAAACCGCTTGAGGACAGTCACGCATGACGTTTTCACAAAAAGTTTTTGATGTGTTAGCTCCGCTCTTGTTTCGAAGCACTCACCGCGGAAATCCGTGAGGTGTGACACTTTTAGTTTCGACCTTTTCTAACCCATTCATTTCTTGTGAGAAGGCAGCTTACTGCTGTCACACCGCTCTGCAGTCAGTAGTACGACTTCGCCCTCAAATCTTGAGTAGCTGCTTTTAGTCTCACAGTTCTCCAATCGACCTGACTGGCATGGTAGAACCTACCAGAACATATGTTCTAACCAATATAGCTCGTTTGAGTCATGACGATAGTCGATCCCGACCACCACGTCAAGGTATCAGCTACGGTCGGGGATGACGATACGATATGATAATGTGATGATAAATACATTTCATTTTTAAAAGATAAACGGTTAAATAGAAGTGTAAACAAAAACAAAACACAACAAATTCATTACTACTTACATATTTCTCCAACCAATCATACATCGAATAGAATCTAAATATTCTTCTGTTTGTCTTCTACCGTTACTATTATTGTTATTATTATTATTATTACTACTACTGTTCACTGATTAAAATTAATTTTAAGAAAAATAAAAGATATCTTGTCATCATTAAGCATAAATTGTATTTGTATTTTTAAGTGCAACTTTAATGAACAATACTATACTGTTGTAATTGATATGTTTACAATTTTTTTTTAAAAAAAAAGTAAACTTAGTGAGATATGAAATAATGTTTCGACTGAATGTCCTTTTTTATAGAAAAAATAATAAATTAGGAATATATATATAAGATTGTTTTTAAATTACTCAAAAATACTTGAATATCTTTACCAGTATACTATCTATGCTGAGAGCAAGAGAAAAGCTTATATTCGTAGATTAAATTATACACGTATGGATGCGTATATCTTGAAGAACATGTATTTAATATGCTCTTTACGGAGTTAATGGAGATAGTTGTTTTTCATCGAAAAAATAAATCAATCATTGTATGACCATCATTAGAAACCTGGAAGCGCTGGACGACCTTTTCATACTATTATGGGATTCATTAGTGCGTATCTATGACCCTCACTCGTGGGAATCAAACCCAGTACCTCTGGTCTCGTGTGATAACGCCTAGCCTCTCTGATAAGTCACGTATTTGGACGAAATGGGCTGTTCAGTTCTTCTAGGTTTCTACTGGTGGTCAAATAATCATTGATTCACATATTTTTTATGAGGTTGATATGTAAGCATCTAGTAAACCAGACTAGATGATGATTAGTCTTACAATTGTGAGGAAACTATATCAAGGAATGTAAAACTTTATACATGAACCAGAATGTTTAACCGATATCAAAAAATCCTTCAACAGTGGTGTATCGTTGATTAAAACACTATAATATTCACTCGTTTTATTGCAAAATGTAAAACTGTCAATGATACTATCGTGTATCATCGTGTATCAACCTAAGGTCGTTTAGAAATAATTACTACAAAACGAACAAAGTGACTAAAAATAATGGAAAGCAAATTCGTTATGAACATCCTTTAACACCGACAAAGTTATCCAGGAATTGGGTACCAAAAATCATAATAAACTTGTAAAATAAACTCCCAGAGATTGTAATCACTTAATGTTGACAGTTGCTGGAAATCTGATCAACAGAGCTAAAACTCTTATGATGGAGACAATATAAAAATGTTGAATTGATAATAATTGTCTAAACACTCTTAAGGGAAACGATCGTTATTTTTTGCAAAATAGAAAAACCATATCGTAAATCGTTAATTTGCAAAATATCATTCCATCATATCGAACTGGACTGTTCCTGTTGCAGACATCTCAATCCATTGTCTGAAATTTCACTATTCATGCTTTTCATACAAATCTCATTGTGTTCCCGCCCTTTCTTCCTTGATCTTCCGCCATCTTCTGCTGCCAGACATTACGTTTTTACTCGCGTCATATACTACTTATAAGTAGCGCGCACCACACAGTGATTTCTTGTTAAAAAACATAGTCTTCGATTCTTAAACGTACTTCGTGTATCCAATAGCGAGCCAGCCACATAATAATTCTTATGATTTAGTTACCTGTTTTATTTGCACTTGCCCCCAATTTCTAACGAAATCATCGATTACAGTCTTTTGTACAAGTAATTTGACAAGCTTAGTTTATTCGGATCTATTTTCGGTTTTATCATGAAAAATAGTACTGTAGTGAACGAGAATACAGGTGGGGCAACCGAATTGTGTTTAACGAAAATTACGGAGTTACTCAGTAAAATCGGAAAACCATATTGTAAGTCGTTAATTTGCAAAATATCAGTCCATCATATCGAACTGGACTGTTCCTGTTGCAAAACATCAATCCATTGTCACTCACTATTCAAGCATTTCATACAAATTCCATTGTGTTCTGACTCTTCCTTTCTTGATCTTCCTCCAACTTCTGCTGCCAGACATTACGTTGACATTCACGTCATATACTACTTATAAGTAGCTCACACCACAGAACGGATGATATTTATAAAATAATGTTCCACTGATATTTTAAATGTTCTACATTGTGAGTAGAGAGATGCAATGAAATTTTGAGCTGTGGGACGTACTACTAATTGGTGATGCAGAATTTAACCATCATCACTTTCGAATTAAAGAGTAACTCTTCTAAAAAGTGATAAATGTTGATGACTAGAATTCTTACTACCCAAAAGTGGTTATATAACTTGGTAAACAGAGTACATTTTGTCTCATCAGATATTGTTGAGCAGTATTAGTTAGTTTTACTTCTACAACCTCTACTACTATGGGATTCAAATTGACAATTCGAGAATGAATGAATGAATGTTTTAAGCATGCTGTAGATCCCACCTATCAATGAGAGCTGAAATGTTGAACTATTCCAATAGGAAATTTTTGAAATCCTTAACACAAAGACACTAATGAGTTAAACTTTTCTCCTCTATAATAGTACTACAGCCAGAGTTGTTGACATCTCAATCCCATAAAAACGTTACACAATTTTTTGACTTCAATAACAAAAAGAAACGAACGTCATAACTTAAAAAGTGATGAGCTAAAATAGTGTTTATGTAATATTACACTGAACTACTACTACCATGGTAGTTTATTTTTTATCCAAATTATCAAGAAAAAAGCAATCACACTGCAGACAGTTTTCCAAACAACGTGTACACTATTTACTTAATCAACAGTCATTATGGGAATTCTTGCAAAAAACCATGAATTCAACAATCGAAGTGGATAAAAATAAGATAACAACTTCAAAATAGGCTTCAGAAGTTGTTGATTTGACAACCTGAAGTTATCTGCCTTAGCTGTACTCCGTATATACTTCAAATGCGTTAATAGCATTGTACAATAACTAGATAAAACTGATACCATTACAAAAGACATTAGTTTTGCGACAAGAAAAGCAAGTTCAGTGAAGTACTAGGAAATCCGAATACAAGCATAACTTCATCTGAGAAATGAAGGGAACTTTTATAATAATTAAATTGAATCTAAAATGCACTCGAAGAGTAACCACTCTTTAATTAAAGTGAAATGAAAGAAAAGGATTGGAAATCTTTGGTGCTCATTAAAGGAAAACTTATGATCGCCTGAATGACTATACATAAACGAGCAGCTGGTCGTCTTGTGGTGTGAGCTACTTATAAGTAGTATATGACGTGAGTGTCAACGTAACGTCTGGCAGAAGATGGGGGAAGATCAAGAAAGGAAGAGTTAGAAAACAATGGAATTTGTATGAAACGAATGAATAGTGACAATGGATTGATGTTTTACAGCAGGAACAGTTCAGTTCGATATGATGGACTGATATTATGCTAATTAACGATTTACGAAATGGTTTTCCAATTTTACTGAGTAACTCTGTAATTTTCGTCAAATACAATTCGGTTTCCCCACCTATGTTCTCGTTCACTACAGTCTAATATGCCAAAATATGTATGTATAGAGTCCTAAGATAGTGATGAGAAATCTTAATCCAAATAATGAGATCATAGATAGGCAGCGATTAAAAGTCCATAGCGTTACCAGTTAAATATTCGATAGTTATGAGATTGGTTAACTTTACCAACTAGCCCTGATTCAAAATTAAGGCTACTTAGAGTCACCATTTCAGTTACTAGAAATGATAAAAAGCAATAAGAATCCTACAATTAATCTGCTTTATTTTGATGTACTTGAATGTTACTAATGACAAAATTTAGTAATATTTAACTGTAGATATAAACTGTGTTTTATGCCTACTTCCATGGTCCTCCTTTCAAATCATTATCTAGGAGTTAAATGAATGAAAAACTGGCCAAATGTATTACTACTTAATCTCATAAATAAATCAGTCGCTGCTAATCATCTTACGTTAGCATCACAAGACAAACCAGTACAACAATACAGGTCACTGATAAAAATTCCATCCTTCCGCTACTCTGATTAAAGCTTCAACTTCTCTGTATTAAAATTATTATTCGGCTTGTTGAATAACTTGCTATCGAAATCATCGTAATGGGTTCGAACTACAGTAGAAACACTGCTACTCATTAATATGTAGACAAGTTATTAAGTCATAAGAATGTATCAACACCCTTCTAAACACTAACTAATCGATACCAGATAACTACAGAAGACTACAACTTATACCAATGGTGACTATCAAATTTCAATAACCAAAAAAATCACTGAAAACAACTAAAGGTATAAGAGAAATATCTGAGATATATGAGATAACTACGATAACACTGACACTTACCACTTGTCTGAAAGATTTCAACACCAGCATTCTTAGATTGCATAATCCACGTGTCCGTACCGTCTAACAACATCCAACTAACTAACTAACTAACTAAATAATTAACTGGGTCAAAAAAACTGTGTAAGCAGATAAACCCCGATAACTTCTTTTAATAACCAATCAGAGTTCAAAATGAAATGAGCAGAGGGGTGTATGATAAAAAACTGTTTGGATAGAAAGAAAAAACAAAACAATTAAGGTGGAAATACTCACACTCATATGACGGTTAATTAATTAATTTGTAAAAAAAAATCTATAAATTATTTAACATTCGTTCTCATTCTGTGTATAAAAAATACAGTAGAGTTCGGATGTGTCTAACTTCTATAAACACTAAATAAGGAACTTGAAATCATCCAATCAAAAAGGCTCATCGTTTGAATTCCTTATGCCTGTCTGTATACTTAACTAACTATCAGCACAAAACTTTCTCTTTTCTAAATGAGGGGTTAGTAGTAACAAGTATATCTGACATTGACATTCGTTAAAACATACAGTGAAGGTGAAAGAAAGCCTGAAACATTGAACAACATCAGTAAGAAGATTGATTTATGTATGTGATTGGCGCCATCTACAGAATAGCCCATTTAATTTCCATAGCAAATAAAAATATGAGAATGAATTTTGATAAGTGCTTGTAGGAAAGTTTTGCTCAACAAAACGAAGTATTTTAACCCTGACACTAAAAAAAAGTTATATAACGGTTTTTTTGGGTTGATTTTGTGTTAACTCCTCCTGTTAAGTATATTGCAGCCGGTGAATTCTGCTACATTAAATAATCGAGCTGTTAAATTACATAATGCCTAAAAAAAGTACTGATTGATCATCCGGCAAGATTATGATTTCTAATTGACTTCTATTGATACTAAACTGGCCTTCAAAAACTAACTACTTACTAGAGTCAAAGTACGGTTATGATACAGTACGTGAAATTAGGGCTATCGGTTAGAATTAGGGGTTGGTGTCAAAACACAGAATAAACTTTACTACAAATGGATACTAACCGTTATGTGAAAAGGCTATTTAGCCATGCGGGTAAATAAACGAATTTTGCACAATAGTCCAACCACTAACTGCCTTGTTAAATCTAATTTGTTCGTCCATAGATTATAGTCTTACAAATTATCATCTTTACTAATTTAAACTAGACTCCTGTGATCTTCATCATCGACGAGAAAGGTGGATCGGATGCAGATGTGAGAGTGCGGATCGGCAAAGCGAGGGCGGCATTTCTACAGTTGAAAAATATCTGGAATTCCAAACAACTTTCAAACAAAACCAAAATCAGGATTTTCAATACAAATATGAGGACAGTTCTACTGTATGGAGCGGAAACTTGGAGAACTACCAAAGCCATCATTCAGAAGATACAAGTGTTTATGAACAGTTGTTTATGCAAAATACTTCGGATTCGTTGGCCAGACACCATCAGCAACAACTTATTGTGGGAGAGAACAACTCAGATTCCAGTGGAGGAGGAAATCAGGAAGAAGCGGTGGAAGTGGATAGGACATACACTACGAAAAGCACCCAACTGCGTCACAAGACAAGCCCTCACATGGAACCCTCAAGGCAAAAGGAGAAGAGGAAGGCTAAAGAACACACTACGCCGAGAAATAGAGAAAGATATGAGAAGAATGAACAAACATTGGACAGAACTGGAGAAAGAAACCCAGGACAGAGTTTGTTGGAGAAAACTGGTGGGCGGCCTATGCTCCATTTGGGGTAACAGGCGAAAGTAAGTAAGTAAGTAAGTCCTGTGATTTTATTTTGTTTTCATGAAATGTAAAATAGCCATACAAGGGCGACAGCTAGATGATATTGAGACCATAGAATGGGAAATCACGTGGAAGCTCAGGAAATATATCTCCTGAGGACTTTCGCGGATGTTTTTAATGATGAGAATGGAAATGTAACAAATATATTCAAGTAAAGAAGGATTATTTTGATAAATTTGATACTGATGAATTTCAAATTTGATGAAATATGAATCTTATGACCTCAGTTCACGCATATTTCGGATAGAATGATGTCTTATTAGTACATTTCTGCGATCTAGCATATGAATTGTTGTATAAACTAGTCATTTATTGGATTTCTATGTGTATCGAACCTTAGGTTTTATTTTTTTTCAGCAAATCTATTTGTATGATGTCTAAATGTGTTTCCAGCTGAGGAATAATTGAGGAAAAAGCATTGGGGATGGATAGAATACAGTCAAGAAAGCACCTATCTATGTCGCAAGGCAAGCCGTCAGTTGGAATCCTCAAGACCGAAGGGAAAAGAGGAAGACCAAAGAACACATTGTACCGAGAATTGGGTACAGACATAAAAAGAATGGACAGCGATTGTGTAGAACTGGAAAGGATAGTCCAATACAAATTAGATTGGGGAATGTTGGTGGGCGGCCTATGCTCCATTAAAGGTAAAACAGCCTTAACTAAGTAAGAGTTAAACTTGTTGACTAAGTTACTCATGAAAACAATTCAAACGAGCATATATATGATTCTATTTAGATTTCATAAGTCGTTTTAAAATAATACACCTGGAATTAATCCGGTAGATAAAATGAAAACCCATAATATTCAAGATTACACAAGTATCAAGTTACATTTTTGTAAAATTCCTTCTAAAACTAATCTTTAATCTATAACTTTACTTGTAGCGAATATCATAAATTGAATTTGGGCAACGATTCAATGAAAACAAATATGTACCTGAACAGTCGTTTCATCCTAGTACAGGACATTTTTAGCAACCAATCATAGCATAACTTAGAATCCAATGTATTCGTTCATCGGTTTACGTTACCAGACTCCATTAACATGACAAGATACCAAAGTAGTATAAGTAGCAACAGTTTTAGTATCAGCAAAAAATACTAAACTTAGAAGATTTAGATATCTATCCACGACTTCATTAAGGATCAAGGTTGAGATTTTTAAGCTTCAAAATGAATGAACACATTACCTATAGACCACCGATTCCTATTCAAAGGTTAAATGAAGATGTTTATGTATGCAGAAATCTAACAATCTTCAGGACATATTGCCGACAATAATAAAAATAATCTGTATACATGCTTACGTACAAATTACTACTGTCGAAATCCAGTATAGAAATAGGATAAATTCCAAAACCTACTCAAACTCTAAACTATTATTCTTAAGTTTATATATCAAATAATGTGGTAATTAATTTATTATTCCAAATAATGTTTAGAAATCTATTCAATTAACTCATATGTCAACCTTAAACAAAATCGAAATCCCAAAAACTACTAATCTTTCCAAGTAAAGATTGTTATATTATGGTGAAATCACCAACAGACTGAACTGTGATAAGCATAGCGATCCTGGAAGCACTGAACGACTGTTTCCGCCTAGTACAGAAGTTCTTCATATGTGCTCATCCATCATGACCTCATAGATGTAAATTTAACCCACGACCTTTGGTCTCGCGTGGAGACGCTTGACCTCGACCGCTGAGTTGGCATCTGATAGTATACAAGTTTTCACCTCAACTTATCCACTATACTGCGCGATCATCTCACATCCGGTACAGCTGAACTCCACTACCCACAGCTTCCCATTAGGACTTCAGAAATTCCCTCTTAAAACTAGACACTAATGTGCATACTATGACTGTTAACATATGGTTATGGAAACTGGAATTTCTGTGTTCAATCTTCCGTGATGAAGTCGTAAATACTCACTGATGAGGAGTTCCATACTAGTGTGATACGACTGTCCAGTGCTTCTTGGTATTCAATAGATATGTGGTTTAGATAGGTTTATAATTTTTAAGTAGGTTTTGTTTTGGTGTAGTTAGTTAAGTGATGTTGTATTCTCTAATGTGATATTAAATTTGAAAGTTATAACACATTTTACCGAGAATAAAATCTTAAAATTGTATTGAAAAACTTTTCTTTCAAAATTTCATTGATTTCTCAACTTAAAATCCAACCAATACTTAGAAATGTAATGTTTATAATAGTGTCATATTTCTTTACCTCTTTTTTCAAATAAATCGAATATGGTACACGTTGTATTGCGTACTATTATTATTAAAACAATGGTTTGGTTTCGTGATAACACAAACAATATGAAATATGACAATCTTTTATGTAGGGTGTATGAGATTTGTTTTAATTCCAGAATGTTCAATCATAAATCTATTTACGCTTGTTTTAAACAGGAGCTATAAACACTATTTCATAATAATTCTTGAATATTTATCAACCTTAGTGAAACCCAATATTATTTTTTATCAAAACTACTAGAAAAAAGGCGCAAAACAACCACATCAAACTAGTTTGATACTCTTCAGAAGAGCTTATAAAACATAGCATTGATAATCCAGTTTAGGATGTTGCTACAAACACCTAAGCATTCATTCAAAAACCTTGTATTTGATCCCATACGGAATAGAGGATGAGGACTACTGAGGAGTCTCGAACTCATCCAAAATATTATTATTTGAAGTTCTATGTTTTCCGATGGTTCACTAGAGAATGATTTCACCTGATAAAAACTCTTCAGTCCGCCCAATTATATACTTATGTCATAAAATTCAAACACTAAGAATCCAATAAATAAAACAAATTAACTTAATACATAAATATTTTCATATAATCATCCATTGATAAAGTAAAGAGAAGAAACTTTAATCTGCTTAGAATTAGGTTCATATTTCCTTTTATTACTAATCCCTTATTTACTGATTAATATTTTAGTAGTATATGTCAATACTGACTCATATTATACAACTAATCCTGATATTCATCAGGAATATGGATTATATATATATATATATATATATATATATATATATATATATACGTATAAAAGGTTACTGGTATCCAAATTCTCTAGCTTCTAGTTAAACAAATTTGATCAAACGTAAGTCCGGTGTTATTTTATGTAATATTATGTAGATACGATTTTGCAAATGTACTCATTTGAACAATACTTTATTCACAAAGCACTATTATAAATGATAGGTAATTTTTATGTGACTAGACAGTAAAATAATAGCTGAGTTTTGTAATTCATTCATAGCTTAAAAATCTATAGTACAATCAAGTAACTACGGTAACACTACTTTCAATACAGTTTGAAAAGATATTATAGTTGAGGTGGTTAGGATATGTGTTACGAAAGCCCTGCCGCGACTGCCTTGACAATCGATGTTTTGTTGCGTAAGAGTAGGTTGGAAGAAAGGTAGGGGTGGCCAAACCAAAATATGGCACAAATCCATAAAATCACTGACAATTGGACTGAGTCATGTTGTTATATGTAGACTACCTTATTGGGGTCCGCGAAATGAAAGTCACCGATGGCTAGAGACCTTGAACGACCTGCCTCAGAATCGTTTGTGATGGCGCAGGTACATCCATTCGTTGTGTTCTCTCAAATTCTAACCTTCAAAATTCCTCATCATTTCTCTTTTCTTTTTAACTTTATCTCATTGAACTATACTTCTTGAATGATGTCGTCGAACCCTAATATTCTCAATTAACGGTAATACTTTCTACTCTCTCTACCACAATGATATTTGAACTGACACTTGTGTCTCTGTGCTAATGACAACCTGAATTGATGTCCTAACGTACGAAGTTCTACTTTGTAACTGACTGACTGACTGAAAAGTTTTTATACAATCAGTTCTCTGATAAAAATATTATATTCGATTGTTTCAATTGTAAATTAATACATCTCATAAAATATTCAAAAATCATTTTCCTTTGTGCTAAAATAATTCAAAATTTCATTTATTTGTTTATCTTTTACGAAATAAATTTCTTTAAGAAAAAAATAGGTATTAACGATTTTTTTTTAAAAAAAAAAGCCTAATAAAATAATTATCATTTTCATACTATTCTCATAATTTTTTTTTTCATAATTTACATGAGATTGTAATACCATTCATTCTATTGTTGGTATTTTTTTTCAAATTAAAATGCATATTCCCATCATTTTAAATTGAAGTTGTTTTTATTTGCCTTGAATACGGTATGGTCAATCGATCAAACTAGAAAATATACACAGAATTTGTTTGGTTAAATGAAAATGACTCATTTAATTTAGATTTGATTAAAATTCCTCATGAGTCATTTTAATCGAACCGTGTGAAATGAATTCGATGAATGAATTAGATTTTTTTTAAATGATGCAGATTCACTTGTATCATGAGTCACATGAAACATTGAAGCTATGAACATAACCTAACTAGCTAACAGGTATTTGATGATCTAAAGTGATATACTTGCCCTGAAATTAATATGCTTGAATACTATTCCGAATTCGCCTTGACAGAATGATGATCGACGATAACAGTGATATGTTCGGCTATTCTAATCCGTTTGTCCCCGGCCTCAGCTAACTAGAAGTAAAAAAGTCTTGATAATGTATAGAGAGTGTATTGTACAAGTAACTACAAAATACGAGGTCGATAAGCATACAAATCAAGCTTATTTGTACAATGATAGAAACATCCTTGGTGAGAGCCAGAAAAAAATAGCGTACTAAAATAACCCATCAACCACTGACAGTTAAGGATTTCTCGAGGGGGAAATTTAAGCTGGAGGTCTACTAAACGTCTCTTGGCGCGAAAACATAAAATAGTCAAAATATCACAATAAAATTTAGAAAATCAGGACGTTCTCCGAAGTGGGTTCCGTGGATCTAACATTCCTCTTTCTAATCCTTGTGCTATGTTTCACAACAAAGTTTAAGTATAGGAATCAGTTATCAAATGAACACTAGGTTGTATTATGGGGTTGTGAAGATTGTTAAGTTACACATCTTGAAACCATGAATCGGTCAATGTTAGACCACCATTAGATATTCATCAAACTTTAATGAGGCATAGATGTACTAATATGAATAATTTAGTAAATACTAAATCAACCAATGAAATTTATTCCAAATTTGACTTATTTCCTATATTGAACCATTCATTGTAACTTATTACTCTTATTAGTAATAGTGAGAAGACTGAGGCAGGCAAATTTACACTCTGAGTCAATTAAAAACGAAAACATTACATTGAATACTCTATTTGAACACCACCTTTGAGTCGTGACTTCCAACACTTTATCCTTCTTCCATTCCTGTTGTTGCTTCTTTTTCTTCCTGTTGGTTGCTCCATTTACTTCTTGCTTTTGCTCTATTTGCTTTCCATTTTCCTCTTCTGACTGTGATACTTCTTCTTTCACGTCCCTTCTTATACTACTTATATCATTCGTATAAGTAGCACACACCACAATAGTACAGCTATTTTCCTATCATCTTATACGTTTATCTATTATTGTGTAGTTAGTTACGTAATCTATTTCATTATGATTATTGACTAGTTTAATGTTTTATGAATAAATATATTCTTGTATACTAGAGAAAAGCCTCATTAAGAATTCATAACCAAAAATGTATATTGTTTACTTAAATGCATTGCTTTAATGTTCATGATGGGGATTTTTAATTCAATGTTAACTTATCATGCCATCTATTTGGATTGATGTATATCTCATAGATATTACACAACACTATGTTGAAATTATTTTCACTAATTTAGTCGAATATTTGAACTTTTCATTCATCTGTGATACATTGTCTAATTGAGTTGGAGATTTTTAGTGTCTCCGTTTTTCAGTCTTGGTTATCTTATATATTAATGTCATGTTTAAAATATTAACACCTCTGAAACATTGTGTCAAGATACGTTATAAGTAGTAATTTCATAAATGTTAACATCTTGAAACATTGGTATTCCTATAGTCGCATTTGAAACAAACTAAGTAGAAAGATGTCTTGGGTATGAAAAATCATTGTATTTGCTTTGTATGCTATGGTTCATCATAACGTCCGTAAATAAAGTCCTAGAAATTGTTCATTTCGGTAACAAAGTTCTGTCAGATGTGACTTAACTAAAAGATCAATACATTTTATTGTTGTTACCTTATTTTTACAATATAGTCTTATCTCTTGTAACGATACAATATTGTCATTTTGTTATATGTAGGCCATTACTCGGTACTTCATTGTACCAAGCGTTTTCGCTATATATTAACATGAAGTACTGCCCTTCACTTTACCTTCTTAGATCAAATTTATCAAGATATCTTTGAATCTATTATTATATTTTTGAAACCATGAGTCGATCAATGTTAGACCACCATTAGAAACCTGGAAGCACTAGAAGGTTGTTTCGTCCTGGTATGGGACTCGTCAGTGGCAGTGCGCATCCACAACTCCAGTACCCAACAGGAATAAAACCCTGGACCTTCGGTATTGTGCACGGACGCCTAACCATCGGACCATCGGGCCGGTATCTAACAGTGTTAATGTCTAAATTGATCGATTCACGGAGTTGCACAACAGTCTTCGGTAGTTACTGTCTACACCCGAACAGGTTGAACTTCACTGGTCACGTCTTCCCACTAGAACTCGGAGAAGATTCCTCACGAAGCTAGTCACTAGTGAGCACAGGTAATTTGCATTACGGGGTTGTTGAGAAGATTGTTAAGTTACACATTTTTGAAACCATGAATCAAATCCTGCGAGGTGCAGGAGTAGCGGATGCGCACTGCCACTGATGAGTCCCATACCAGGACGAAATGTCCGTTCAGTGCTTCCAGGTTTCTAATTGTAGTCTAACATTGATCGATTCATTGTTTCAAAAAATGTGTCACTTAACAATCTTCACAACCCAGTAATGCATTTATCAACCTATGATGATGATTACCTAACGGACATGACTAGTCGAGTCATACCAAAAAGCAAATAAAAAAAACACATGAAATAAACCAATTACATATAAATGACATGCAATAGAAAATAGAAAAAACTATGAAAAAAAAGTACATCACAAATGAATGAATACTCCAATCAATGAATCAAATATATATACATATATATATATATATATTCACAAGTTTAGTCATGAATTATTTCACTGCCCCTAATATGTTTGATATAAGTACAAAATAAATTAGCTTAAATTAATATGCATTATTATTATTATTGTGAATAAAAAGTATATCGAGAAAATCATGTCACAGACAAAGGAACTAATTTCTTTCTATAATATAATTGATTCTTTTATTTTTCTCTTGATTAGTTAGTTAGTGCTTCAACCACGTACTGTAGTAGTACAATCTACAACAACAAAAAACTGAGGCAAATTTATCAATTACCAATTGAATAATTTATACAAACAATTTCTTTTTAATCACAATGAATTCATCCACAAATAATCATAATAAATGGAAACGTTCTATGACTATCAATAATTTAGAACAATTTCATCGTAATATTATTACATTTACAGAAAAACGTAATCAAAGCATAAAACATTCAAAATCATTACATAAATCTCTATGTCGTAGTAAATCTTTGATTCAATTAAAAACTAATAAAAATATTATGAATGAATATGAATTACGTCAAATTAATGATTTATTAAATGAAATTGATAATAATCAAATGAATTCAACTACTACTACTAATGAAACTACTAACAATCATAATGAAACAATTGTTAATTTAAACAATATGATTCAATTACCAATAATTGAAAATGAATTAACTAATTTAGAACGTTTATATTTATATGCTGCAGAACAAGGTGATTTAGGTACAATTAAACAATTAACTGATCAATCCATTGAATTAAAATTAAATTTAAATTGTACTGATACATTAGGACGTGATGTATTACGTATTGCAATTGAAAATGAACATATGGAATTATTACAATTTCTTGTTAGTTTACCTAATTTAGAATTAAAAGATTGTTTATTACATGCTATCAATGAAGATAATGTTTTAGCTGTAGAAATTATATTACATGCACAAACAGAACGTGGTAGTAAAAAAAATTTAAAGGTTAGTGTTTTTCTGTAATTTCATTGTTCAATTTTTTTTTGATTGATAACTATTCAGAAAATGATAAGGTTATTAAGATTAGTTAGCTGGTATCAGTCAGGCAGATGCAACGTAGAACTTCATACGTAAGTACATCACTTCAGGTTGCTAAACCACATCAGCACATGTTATCTGGTATAGTTAGTCAGGACAATTGTCATGACATAATCTTAGATGATTAAAGGCAATTTGATAGGAAGCTTTGAAACGTTAGTTTCATGTTAGTTGACATTCAACAAGATGACTTATTGTCTAATTAGTGAGAAACATTTCCATTTTTTTCAAGTGGTCAGTAGTGAATGAAATGACTTAGTGATGATATTGTGGTGTGCGCTATTTATAAGTAGTATATGACTTGAGTGTAAACGTAATGTCTGGCAGCAGAAGATGGAGGAAGATCAAGAGAAAGGAAGAAGAGTGGGAACATAATGGAATTTGTATGAAACGCATGAATAGTGAGTGAAATGTCAGACAATGGATTGATGATGGATTGAAGATTTGCAAATTAACCGTTTACGATATGGTTTTCCTATTTTACTGAGTAACTCTGTAATTTTCCGGGTAAATACAATTCGGTTGTCCTCACCTGAGTTCTCCTTCACTACAATATCACTGATTGTAACTATATAATAAGGGTATGGATCTTAAATATGGAAGTATCAGTTCTTTTGAGATTTAAGTTAGCCCTTACTAATAGATTTTAAGTTATAAGAAACCTAATTCTATCCTTTTACTGGCACAATGCTCTTATAGTTTTAAATATATTTCATTTCAAACTATTAACTGTAATAATCTTACAAATTAATTAATAACTAAATTATTTTAGGGCAGAGTTTTGGAGGTTTGCGTTTTTACACATTTAAAATCATCAATCTGCCCCAAAATATCGTAACAGTACTCACTAGTGACTGGCTTCGTGAGGAAATTCTCGGAGTTCTAGTTGAGAAGACGTAACCAATGGAGTTTAACCCTGTTGGGTGTAGGCGTTCGCCTACAATGCCGAAGGTACCGGGTTCGAATCCTGCGAGGAGCAGGAGTCGTGGATGCGCACTGCTGATGAGTCCCATACCAGGACGAAACGGCCGTCCAGTGCTTCCAGGTTTCTAATGGTGGTCTAACAATGATTGGTTGATGATTTCAAATGTGTAAAAACTAAATTATTACTAGCTGTTTTCATATTTTCTGGATGTCATATAGAATCATTTAACTTGTTCGGAATGATGTAACTCGCTTAACAGAACATAATCAGCATTACGAGCTAATTAAAATATCATTGATCTCTTATTCAACTAAGTGTTTCGTGCAATAATAATGTTCTTGTACATTTATTTAACCAAACTGACTGATCTCTTTTGGTTCATGCCATGGAATCACTGCTTTTAAGCCAAGTAATAGTTATATCACTGAAAAGATCTATTCTGGATACAGATTCAGACGATTATATTCAAATAACTGATAAAACTGTCTACAAGCTGTAATGTTTTATTACGCAATTTATTCTTCTTTTTAGAAATGAAATGATGATGAGATAATTTTCATTGAAATCATAAATCGAACATTGTTAGACCATTATAAGAAACATGGGCTTAATAGTGACTAGCTTAATGAGGAAATTTTGGGAATTCTTGTGAGAAACCGAAACCTGTGGAGTTTAACTGTGTCTAGAATTAAGCAGGTTGCTCAGTACCTTGGATTCATCAAAGTTAAACATTAACACCGTTGGATGCCGGCCAGTTCAGTGGTCTAGAGGTTAAGCGTTCGCCTCGTGCGAACGAAGGCCCTTGGTTTGATTTTTGCGAGTAATTGTCGTGGATGTGCACTGTTGATGAGTCCCATACTAGGATGAAACGGTTATCCAGTGCTTCCAGATTTCTAGTGTTAGCCTAACAATGACTGATTCATGATTTCATTGAAACTCAACAATCTTCACAACTCTGTAGAAAAAAAAGACGAAGTAATTCACTTGAAACACACTATAGGAATAGAATAAAATATATTATTCTGTAGATCTTACCAAAATGATTTAAACAAAACTCGTTGTTATCATTTCATTATTGTACCTTGGTAGATTACTAAAACATCGACAGTAATTATACACGTCAAATTTTATTTAGATTTATCTACATGTAAAACTAGAGTTACCTATAAAACTCATGTGTAATACTTTTGAGATGATAATATTTGTATTTTATTATAGTTCCTATTTTTTCTTCCTTTACTGAGTTTCTATGTTTCTTTCTGAACTGCATTTGTGTTGTTTAAACTGATACCTAGTCATGGCTACAGCCATATTGATTTGCTCCTCTTTTGATTGGATTGCTGGCTTTGACTGAATTATGTATTTTGATTGTAAGTTGAAGCACACTTGCAGAATAGGAAACACTCTGTGTTATCAACCAACCAAATATCATCTGTCGAACGAATCTGATCTATCCAGGAGGGAAAGAATAACATTTATTTGTTTCTGTTGATTTGAATAATTGAACAATTGTTGGTGGAATAACTGAGTGGTAATATTTGTTTAGGTAATTATGTAAATTTACATTTACGATGAATATTAGAACCGTCATTTACCCAAATCACTTGCTTTGATTTCGACTGAGCAAGACGCGTATCTAACCTACCTAGACAGTTATTCCTCAGTCCAAACCTCGGTTTAGGTCCTACAATAGGCTTAAACATCAAAAGTGTACACTTCTGTCATATTCAATTATCAAATTTGGCATACAATTTGTTTTGGCCGCAGAAAGAGCCAACTAAAATGTGTAACAACAAAATACATTATGTGAAAAAATGTATTTCGATTTGGAGACCAAAATATAACCAAGCCTTATAATTTCACTATGATTAAGTCATCTAAATGTACCAAAAAGTGGAAATCATCATTCTAATTCATGTAAAATTGTTGTACTATCAATGTATGCTGAGTCTCCGGAACATGCATACAAGATCCGAATAGAATCATTAATTCGACTTCACCATGTCAAAACAAAGAACCAACTTCATTTAGTCTTCGTGTATCTAGAAGCCCCACTGCTACATCCCGTAGTCTCACTGGTGTATGTACAGCATCGATTTCTAAAGTAGAACTGGCTTTCTTAGACTGGATCCTAGTTGATGAATTTTACCGAAACGTTATGCTCTCTGATTTTAATGCTCAAGTAGGTAGACTATTAGTTTGGAGTCAATGAGACAGTCAGTGTCCAATATTTACAGAATTACTCTTCATATGAATTTACAATACTAAAGAAATACTTCTTATATTCATTGCATAAAATAAAACGTACATTCATCCTCTTTACATTTTTATACAAAATGAACACAGCCTATTTGACATTATGATCAAAAATCATGTACTAAAGAAAGGGAAAAAGGCTTTTTTTATGTGTCAACTATAATAAAATTCTATAAACTACAGAGCTATGATGAAAATGATAAACCGAAAAAAAAAATAAAAATTTCCATAATCTTTTTTTTTTTCCTTCATTTTGCATAAATTAATTAACTTGACAAATCATTATAAACTAAAAATGAAAAAAATTATAACCAATCAAAATGTAGTGTGTGTGTGTAGTATGATCTTACTAAGTTTATTGATTAATTCACAATATCACATTAAACTGATATATTATTTTATTTGGTAATGAATGTTATCTAAAGACAAATATGATAACAATATGTAGTTAATTTAAAATAGTTTTTTCTTTTATCTGAAATGTTCTTCTAGCTTTTCTATTTTGAGTACAGTCAGTCAGTCAGTAAGATGCAACGTAGAACTTCGTACGTAAGTACATCAGTTCATGTTGCCATACCACATCAGCACAGAGATGTAATTGTCAATTGAAATCCAATAGTAGTAGAGGTGGTAAAGGTATTAGGAGTAATCGGAGAGGTTAGGATTAGAACATATTATTCAAGAAGTATGATTTAGTGAGATAAGGTTAGTAAGACAAAGGTAGAGCTGCTGACGAATCCAGAAGATTAGGATTTGAGAGAACATAGAGAATAAATGCACCTGCGCCATTGCGAACGATTTTGAGCCATGTCATTCAAGGTATCTAACCATCGATTATTATCATCTCGCGGACCCCAACCAGGTAGTCGACAATTACCGACATGGCTAAGTCCACTTGTCAATGACTTCATGGATTTGTGACATGTTTTGGTTTGGCCGCCCCTAACTTTCTTCCAACCTTCTCCTACACTACAAAACAAAGCTCGACGAGGTAGTCGGTGGATTTTGAGAACAACAAATAATATTTAGCATAATTAATCAGAAATCATATGTTTTATGTAGTTGATACTTTAGTGGATGTATTCGAGTGATTACATAGTAAACTACGTATTAATCAGTCAATCAGCAGCAACGCTGGACTTCGTACGTCAGTACATCAGTTTAAGTTGCCATACCCCGTTAGCACAGAGATGTAATTGTCAGTTCAAATCACATAGTAGTATAAGGTAATAAAAGTATTATCAGTAATTGAAGAGATTAGGGTTTGAAGATATTATTCGAGAAGTAGAATCTAGTGAAATAAACCTAAAAAGAAAAAGATAAAGGTGATGTGGA